ATATATTATCTTTTGTTTCTGTCTTTCTCTCTTCAGCTCACATATACTGTGTCCACCACCTATAACTTTGCGGTTCTGCGGTATCTGGGGAGGAAAGGCATCAGTCCGCGGTGTTAACATCTCTTCTGTCCTGGTGTCCACTGGTCCCTCTATAACAGCACCATTTCTCATCTCGTGCTTTTCCACAACACCGTTTCCTGGCTGGTTTTTTTACATTTTTGGATTTAAAGGTTTAGATTTTGGAATCTTTTCTCCAAACTATCTCTATTTTCCACCTATACCCCTCCCGTCCACCAGGGGAAGTATTCTGCCTTCAAGTCTTCTGGGACATTATACAAAACGGGTGTGCAAAAGATCCATGTATTTTTCATTCTTGTGCTGCCACAAAGAATGGCGGCAGTTGTAGTTTTGGTCTCAGTCGCCTCATAATCCAGCTAAACGAGTCGTTTTTTCATGTTTTCAAGCCAACTTTACTAATTTTCTTCTTCAGCAGTACACAACTAAACTGTACAGTCAACTTAATTATGACCTAGCCTAGGCCTATATAGTGATTTTGAAATTGTGTATAACACATAACACTGACTGTAAAATATTTATGTATGGGATGCCATATTTTGAGTTTTGATCATTTTACCGGGCTAGTTTTGTTACACGGACTTGGCGACTCTGACGATCATGCCAACACAACTTGAAGTCAACTATAAGTATTGGATTCCATTTTTTACTTTTTGTTTTTGAGATGTGATACTATAGATCATAGATATATGTACATATATGCCTCATTAGTGGCAGTTTCTATGAGTCGCTTTACGTAAGAGGTCCGCCATATTGGAACAGTCAAAGCCGGTCCGTGAACATTTGAGAGCAAGTTGATTGGGCGTCTGTAACTGTAGTTAGATGCATGTATGAATATCTATATATGAAATAGACTTCAGCAGATGATTTTGCTAAACTAACACAATACAACAAGATGAAGGCGTCAGCTAACATGACATTAAAAAGTTACCATAATATAAGTAAAAACATTGAGACATAAAAACGCAAACCAACACATTCTCATCTGTGAAAGGTTCTCCCATTTCTTCAGGAATTTAAATCTGGGAACGAGAAGCTGTGCAATGTTGTGGCATCACTGGCCCTGTTTACTCCTGGCATTAAGGTGTGTTTTGTTCGATCGGATCACAAGGAGGCGAGGGAGACACATTCCCGTTTACACCTGGTGTTTTAATCCGTCTCTTTTGTCCACTTTAGTTTCAACCACTTCTGTCCTGATTGGTGACTGTCATTGTCTAGGGGCGGGAAATGTATAGGTTTTCAGATCTTTCCATCTAATGGACAAAATAAGCTCACGCAATATACATATGAACACGTCCGGAGACCGCAAGACCAGCCGAACGCTGTGAGTGTGTGTTAGAGATCAGGAATGGTGAGAGAACTTTGTGCTTGGTACGTTTTTCATCTTCAAACCAAACTTGGGTCTCCAGCCAACAAAGTTTAACTCTCGTCTGGCTAGCGTTCTTCCCATAATGTTCACTCATTAGATCAGGAGAGCAGACGATCTTTTGTGGCTGTTTGAACACATTCGACCGCATGAGCGTTTACACTGCGAAAGCAATCCGGTCTAATGGGTTTTCAACTACCTCTGGAAGTGGTGGAAACCCAGACAGCAACATAGTGTCGGCCCAGATCCGGTACATGTGGATTCAACGCGTATCTGGGCCGACACTATGTTGCTGTCTGGGAAGTGGACAAGCTCAAAATGTTTTCGACCCCGTTTACACCTGTATTTAGCGAAGACCACATGTGATCCGATCGACCAAAGCGCTTCTTAATACCAGATGTAAACAGGGCTTTGATTCTTACGGTGAGTGACGAAACGCTGACTGTACCAAGATGGCGGGAGCGCCGACGTGTGTCTAAAGTGGCCGAATGTGGCATCTACGTATACATATCTATGCTATAGACCTTACATGCCAGAGAAACAAGTGTGCAGCATCTTTAGATCGCTGTCGAACAGTAATTAGCTGAAGTGGATTTACTTACTGTTGAGTTACCGAAAGTTAAGCATTGTAATGTTTGAAGCGGATGTCATGGGAAATGTCAGCAGACCGGGAAGATTTTAAAACGAGCAGTTCATTCATAAATCCGTAAGATCTTCCCTTCATGCTGTGGGAATACAAACCGGAAGACCGAACACAACGAGCGCAGAGCTGAAAAGGGGGCGGAGCTACATGAGGTCAATAGCACGATAGTTTGATTGTTACTTTATCAAATATTAGTTTACAGTCCATTTGACACAGTCTGCTGGTCTATTCATGACTTAAATGACTTGATTGGACAGCTTTAGAAAATAAAAAAAAACAAAATGGTTACACTTTATATGAAGGTGTCCGTGTTACAAATATGTATTTAAGTACCGAGTAATAATTAACTACATGTACTTACTATAAGGTTAGGTGCTTGTTATTAAGCTTCATTTATCTAAGTACATGTAACAAGGACACTGTAAAATAAAGTGTTACCAACAAAACTATTGGGTAGTAATACCATAACATTAGATTTTTAGAAAAAAACAATCTCTCGTGGTGATGCCTGGTTTCCATGGTGACCATCCCTAACATCTGGTTGCCATGGAGAGAGAGAGACAGCAATGTGTGACCCCAGAACTTTTTTCTCACAGTCTCTTGAAAGGACTGAGTAAAGCCTAAACAATGGACCAGCCCCTCTTTGTTGGAGGAAAGCCCACGCCACAGGGGTCAGTTTACGCGTCAGAAGATATCGCCCGCGCACAAAGAGGCTTCTGGGACTTTCAGCCGCTCGAATAAAAGCCTGTGCACAGATGGGGCTAATGATGTCTAATGCATAGAGGGTGTCAGTGCTAATAGTGTTTCACGCCTGGGATATTTCACTCATAATTGAGAGCAAAAATGTAGAAGAAAAAAAGTCTTCCTAGCCGTAGCTTAATTTAGTTTCGTTTTCTGTATATACATTTTTTTTTTTCATAACAAAAGTTAACCAATTCAGGGATTGATTATTTGATTATTTGAACATTTTTTATAATGAAAGTCTTTTGTTGGCTGCTTGATCGCCCCCTAGTGTTTGGTGACCGCAGGATTTTAGTGTAGATTTAAAGCAGTAGTTCACCTAAATAGTTCACAAATGAAAACGGTCATCAGTGAATCGCCATACGTCGTTTCAAACCGCCTCACCAAAAAACAATGCTAGGCAGAATGAAGTATGCACCATATTCCAAGTCTTCTGAAGTCACACGAAATCTAAGATTGCTTTTTATATTGCCCTTGAAAAACATGCTCTTTACCATGGCTTTTAATCTCATTTGTGCTTCCTCGTATTCAAATTTGGCTCAATGCAATTTTATGAGTAATTTGAAAACATTCCTGTCAGGATCCATCATAGAAGACTTGAAATTATATGGACTACTTTAATTATGTCTTGATGGAGCTTTTGCCTGCTATTCCTGTATGAAAAAGAGCAACGTGAACATTAGGGCTTGTTCAGCTGGTTGCTATTAAAAACGCCAGATGTAGGTCAGTGGAACGAAAAAAAAGCTGTACTTTTTAAAAGTTGAACTTATTTTATCTTGAGGGCCATGTTTTTCGAACGCTGTCTTTAGAACGCAGTGTTTTTAGAACGCCATGTCTTTAGAAGGCTATGTTTTTAGAACGCTACGCTGTGTTTTTAGAACGCTGTGTCTTTAGAATGCTACGCTGTGTTTTTAGAAAGCTGTGTCTTTAGAATGCTACGCTGTTTTTAAAACGCTGTCTTTAGAATGCTACGCTGTGTTTTTAGAGCGCTACGCTGTTTTTTAGAACGCTATGCTGTGTCTTTAGAATGCCGTGTCTTTAGAACACTACGATGTGTTTTTAGAACGCTACGCTGTGTTTTTAGAACGCTACGATGTGTTTTTTCAGAACGCTACACTGTGTTTTTAGAACGCTACGATGTGTTTTTAGAACTCTACACTGTGTTTTTAGAACGCTACGCTGTCTTTAGAACGCTACGCTGTTTTTAGAATGCTATGCTGTGTTTTTAGAACGCTATGCTATGTCTTTAGAACGCTACGCTGTTTTTAGAACGCCGTGTCTTTAGAACGCTACTCTGTTTTTAGAACGCCGTGTTTTTAGAACGCTACGCTGTTTTTAGAATGCTATGCTGCTTTTAGAATGCTATGCTGTTTTTAGAATGCTATGCTGTTTTTAGAACGCCGTGTTTTTAGAACGCTACGCCGTGTTTTTAGAACGCTACGCCTGTTTTTAGAACGCTGTGTCATGCGTGAGAAACTTTAACAGACGCGAGCACAACACTCAAACACGTCAGTGTGTGCTTGCATTGAAAAACAATGGAAAAATAGCGCAGTGGAATGGAAACACGTTTTCTCTGAGAACGGCCCCTTAATGTTGCAAAATTAATCAAGTATAAAACAAATTCAGTTGCAGCAGTTAAGCAGCTCTGCAGAAGACAAAAGTGTTATTATTCAGCTCAACTCAGTTCAGGTTTTATTTTCATTGTGTCAGTGCAGTCAAATCGATAATATTACTGAATTGATTGTCTTTTAAAAGGAGCCGGTGGCAAAAATAAAGTTTGGAACGACGTGTGACTGTGACAAATATCTGAACCGTGAACTATTTTGTTATGTAACTCTAATTGTCAGGAGATTATTGTAGTTATTGTATAACTCTTTCTTTTTCTTCAATTAATCAGTGAATTCTCCTCATTCTTCAAAGGACTTTTTCAGTTTGTTATTTGCTATTATTTACAGTATTTCCTAGATGTGTGTGTACAGACTCTCACTGCTCTGTTGGCTGCACACAGTACTGTAAACCTGGAGAATAAAGCTCAGTGCCTTGCAGCGGGGGTGGAGTTGTGTTTTACTGTGTGTTCTGTTGTAGATCCACTGTCCCCTGCACCTCACAGCATGGCAGCTTGTGTTAGCCGAGCGCGATCGCAGAGAGAGGGAGGAGAGGAGACTACATGCGCTCTTCGGGCGAGTGTTAGATGAGCACAGAGGAACCCTGCGTTCCCCTTACGACCTTCACACACCAGATGTGTGACTCCAGAAGACGACACCCTAAACATATTGAGTTGATTTCTTACCAAACGCTATATTTGAGTTGCAAAGTTTGTTACCTGGCTAAACAGGAAAGAGCATTTTGTTTAACGTGTTTAAAACTATGACAGTTAAAGCATAAACCACACATTATATGATTGCTGTTGCAGTTTGTTTATTCGTCGCATTGGATTCTTGCAAACTAAAGCAGTCTTGACCTCCTTATTGCATCGGAGATGATGTGAAACAGACATTTGTGGTCCAGACTTATAACAGGATTATAACACAACCCCTGCTTTCCACACACTCATTTGGTCCGTTTAAAGACGTCCGTCTGCATGTCAGTGAATACAGGATTGATTGAACACTGGAGTACCAATTAAGCTTATACCAATCACACGGTAGAAAGTGACAGTCAGTACATTCAATGCAGTAATTCACCACACTTCATCCCCCCCAGTTGAAAAAAAAATGAAGAATACAGTATTATTAATGCAATTCAATACTCCTGTGAACTGTAACATGATAAATACTGCGTCAGGCTGTGTGAATCTCACCAAAAACATCCAGGATACACTTCACTACCAAATATATATATACACATACATATTCTGTATATCCATACATACAAAAAAAAAATTAGAATATCATGCAAAAGTTATAATTTTGATGATTAATGGCTTACAGTTTATGAAAACCCCAAATTCAAAATCTCAGAAAATTAGAATATTACATGAAATCAATAAAAAAGGATTTTAAATACAGAAATGTCGGCCCTCTGAAAAGTATAATCATGCATATAGTATACTGAATATATTAGTTTCACCTATTAATTTGAATTACTGAAATACACAAACTTTTGCACGATATTCTAATTTCTCGAGTTTCACCTGTATATACGTGTATGCATAATATATACACACATACCTTTCCATATGTCCATCAATGTGTCTAGATTTTCATTACTACACTAAAGTAATTGCAAATGAGAATTTTGAGAGGGAAAAAATGTTTAATTGTCATAAAATCAGAATGCAATAGTTTTATAAACAGGCTTCATTTCTTTCTTCTGCTCATGTGGTGAAACATGGCCTGCACATTTCTCTGTGAGATTCACTGCTTATTCCAAAGCTTTAGTTCACTTATCAAGTTGACATTTCGACTGACTAATCAAAAGACTTTTGTAACAAAGAAACACGTCCAAACAGTTGCACTTCTGCATGGAGAGTCTTTCCATCACGTAATGGAGATCTGACGTAACATTTCTTCACTGTAAACCCAGACGTTTGGTACCTTTATTTACTGGAAAACACAATCCGATATTAGGAATGAATATGGTCAGCAGTTTGTGTATAAGAGACACAGTGTTGCATCTATTTCCATTTCACAGTGTACCAAAAACCATGTGACGTCCGTCAACAAAAACTAAGTAACAACAAACAATTTCTTGTGTTTTACATGTATAACCAATGCATGATAGGCGGCAAGCGAAGGTCTGTAAACAGAAACATGTGACGCGTTAATGCCAGTGAAAGCTGTCAGAACATCAGCTCTCTCTGGTTATAAGGAGAGCTGTAGCAGTACAGGTGTAGAAAACATTCATATTGGGCGGAAAGCACTAGGAAATGAGTCAATATTATAAAAGAGAGAAGTGAAATAAGTTTAAGTACCTATAAATGAAATTTTAAAAAAAAGTGCCCTCTAAGCAGGGTCAAAGGTCAGTGCAAGATACTGGGTACCATGTGCTTTGGTTTCATATCAACACTGAACTGAAACTGAGGAAACATGAGGACCACTGAAGCTGGAGACGGTGTTGTTGAACGGTTCAGACACGAACTAACGCTCCTGAGAGTCACTGAAGTGTATAAAGCACAAAGTATACTGCGTTTTAAACACGCATGAGTGCAGTCGAACGCGCTTGTCAATGCGGGCGTCTGTTGCTGTTGGAGTCTCCGCGATTTTGTTGTTGTTCCGTCTCTTTAGTATGGAAGCTTGTTTCCGCCACAGAATAAAACATTTTTTAAAAGTTTACGACTTTATATCTCGCGATTCTGAGAAAAAACGTCAGAATTGTGTGATATAAAGTTGCAATTGCGTGTTATAAAGTCAGAATTGCGAGAAATCAACTAAACTAAATAAAAAGTCAAATTCTATGGAAAAAAAGACTCAGGATTGTGAGTTTATATCTCACAATTCTGACTTTATAACACGCAATTGCGACTTTATATCACGCAATTACGACTTTATATCACGCAATTGCGACTTTATTTCACGCAATTCTGACTTTATAACACGCAATTGCGACTTTATATCACGCAATTACGACTTTATATAACGCAATTACGACTTTATATCACACAATTGCGACTTTATATCACGCAATTGCGACTTTATATCACGCAATTACGACTTTATATCACGCAATTGCGACTTTATATCACGCAATTGCGACTTTATATCACGCAATTACGACTTTATATCACGCAATTGCAACTTTATATCACGCAATTACGACTTTATTTCACGCAATTGCGACTTTATATCACGCAATTGCGACTTTATATCACGCAATTACGACTTTATATCACGCAATTGCGACTTTATATCACGCAATTACGACTTTATATCACACAATTGCGACTTTATATCACACAATTGCGACTTTATATCACACAATTACGACTTTATATCACGCAATTGCGACTTTATATCACGCAATTGCGACTTTATATAACCCAATTGCGACTTTATATCACGCAATTACGACTTTATATCACGCAATTGCGACTTTATATCTTCCAATTGCCTGTTATAAAATCAGTATTGGAAGATAAACATGCAATTCTGAGAAAAAAAGTCAGGTGACTTTATATAACGCAATTGTGACTTTATATCACGCAATTCGGAGATAAAAAGTCCAAATTGCGAGATGTAAACTCGCAATTGTGAGATAAAAAGTCACAATTATCTTTATATTTTTTATTCTGTGGTGGAAAAAAGCTTCCATACTTTAGTTTAGTTTTCTTCTGTAAAAACAACGGCCCGGGACAGTGTTGCCACCTAGTGGATCGACTGATTAGTGCAAAACAAATTCAGTGTGCACGTGTGTACAAAGTAATGCATGGTACAAAAATATTTCGGTGCGCGTACTATTCTGGTGACGAAATTTGCGTCACGCGCACTTTACGCAGGCTCTCGCATACATGTAAAAACCACAGTATACTTTGTGCTTCACCCTCAAACACACACACACACACACACACTCCTCACACAACAAGAGACTTTCTCTCTTCAGCACAGCCTTCAATTAGACATTGTAAAATAGCTCAAATATACACAACACAGGCTGACAACTGAAACTAAATAATTTAAAAAATAAAACAAAAACAAGATATTTAATAACTCTGTACCTCACAAAAAAAAAAAAAAGTATAACTTCGATCAAAAGAAAAAGAAAATAATGCTGTACCGATGTATCTCAGACAGCTTGTTAGCAATATGCTAATCTGAGGTTATGCGTCTTACCACACGTACCGTAACAGGGTGAATCTAACGAAGAAATGGTCATATTTCATCCCAAAATCAACTTTACATGAAGAACGTAAAGTCTGGACACAATCATTTTTAATAATTACTGAAACCAGCATAAATTGAAGCCAATACAAAAAAAAAAAAAAAAAACGCTACAATAATTTACAGTTTAAATAATGTTATGAAACTTTTTTTTTCATATTACAGTAATGATCATTCAATGTTTTCTTTTCACATTACGATCATGAGAATGTGGTTAAAATGTGTAATGATAATAATTTCACAACATGTGGTGAATTTGTGCTGAAATATGACCCAAACATATTCTCATCAGACTTCACCCAAAGAATAACTTATGAGCAAAATAAATAAGAAATGCCTTATTTCTTTCAACACCACATTCCGGTAAATGCCCTTTCTCTCAAGCATTATAACATCACTGACAGCAGTGGTCAGCAAGGTGTCACTCTCTGAGGTTATGCATTATAAAATATCAGACAAAACGAGTACCACAACATAGCAATGGTGCATTTAAAACAGCAGGATGTAAAACTGCGGTGAAACTCATTACACACCGCAAGCAGAAAAGCCTTCGACTGGGGAACGATCACGATAAACGTTTGTGTTTACATAATATATGTGTATAATTATTTTGTATATATAATTACAAATATGCATTTATATCTTATATTAAAGAAAAATGTGTTATTTATATATAAAATATATATTATATAAATTACATATATATATATACATGCAAATATTTCTTAAATAATGTGTGTATTTATATATACAAAATAATTATACACAGAACATGCACATATATTAAGTAAACACAAACTTTTATTCTGGATGTGATTAATCGTTGCTCGCTACTTTGTGCCAGACTGTGGGGAGATGAGTGTGTGTAAAACGCTCGCGAGACGCGTCCGGTCCGGAAAGCTCTCAGGCACATCAGCGGGAGAGTGAGAGTCCACACGGACTAGTGTTGACGAAAGTACCAAGTCGAGACTGAAATTTAAAAAATGTGGCGCTTTGAGCGGAATCGTAACCACCTCTGATTGGCCGTTGTGTTCACACGCTCATCAAATGTGTCTGTGATTGGCTACAATGATCAGCGCTTCAAAAACATGTTGTAAATGTACATCAGCGAGCGCTTGCACAGACACACACGCGAGGGTTGTAAAGCCGGCGTCTATCAGCGGTCGGATCGGTCCTGCTTGAGCTTTCAAACGCTCCCTGATCATTGCAGCCAATCACAGACATATCCGATGAGCTCGTGAACTCAACGGCCAATCAGAGGCGTTTATGATTCCGCTCAACAGCGCTCAAAGAGTCACATTTTTAAGCGCTTGGTACCGAAGTCGGTACTTTCAACACTAACGCGGACAGGAGCGGTTCGAAAGACCCCTCAGCAACAGGACGAGCGAGATGCTTTCCGGTTCCCGTGAAGATCGATGGAGCTGCTCAGGAGAGCGTGATCAATGGGGTCCTCGCTAGCCAGGACTTCCCGAACCGCAGCCTCGAAAGCCGCCCCCACGTTCATGTCGTCTTTAGCGCTGGTCTCGAAGTACGGACAGCACCCGTTCTCCTCGCACCAAGCCCTGGCCTCGTCCTCCCCGACCTCGCGCTCTTCCTTGTCCACCTTGTTCCCCAGCACCACGAAGGGGAAGCGCTCGGGGTCTCGCACGTCCGAGTAGTACATGAACTCCTTCTTCCAGCAGCCCAGGTTCTGGAAGCTCTGCAGGTCGTCGACGGCGAAGGTTAGCAGACAGCAGTCGGCGCCGCGGTAGAAGGGGGTGCGCAGGCTCTTGAAGCGCTCCTGGCCCGCCGTGTCCCAGATCTGCAGCGTCACCAGCCGGCCCTCGATCTCCAGGTCCCGGTTCAGGAACTCCACGCCGATGGTGTGGAACGACTGCGAGTCGAAGCGGTCCGTCACGTAGCGGTTCATGAGGGAGCTTTTGCCCACGCCGCCGTCCCCCAGCAGAATTACCTTCAGCAAGAGGCTCTTCCCACTCATAGCGGCACGCGCTCAGTGCAGCCTGACAAACACACACACACACACACACAAGCATACACACTACATGAAGCACAAGTGCAAACACAACAGCTTTAGCCAGGTTCACACATTAAACGAGTAGTTCACTTCAGAATTTAAATTTCCTGATAATTTATTCACCCCCACGTCATCCAAGACGTTCACGTCTTCAGTGGAAATAAAAGTTTTTAAGGAAAACGTTCCAGGATGTTTCTCCATATAGTGACTTCAATGGGGTCCAACGGGTCAAAGGTCCAGATGTGAGTTTCAGTGTGTATTCACACCTGCCTTGTTTGGTTCGATTGAATCGAACTCTAGTTCGTTTCCCCCCTTGGCGCGGACCTTTTGGGCAGGTGTGAATACAGCAATCGAACTCGGGTGCGGACCAAACAACCGAACCGAGACCCAGCTGAAGAGGTGGTCTCGGTACGCTTCCAAACGAACTCTGGTACGGTTCGTTTACGGTGTGAACATGAACCGACCCAATTGCAAGAAAGCACTGCGCCTTTGAGTTAACAGGCTTCCGTAGTTGGAGATTTTGGCATAATGGTTTGTGTTATTGTTGTTCAAGTGCGAAAGAGAATTCCATTCTCGGGCGCTGTCTGGTGTTGAAGATTTTATTATTCAGAAAACAAGTAATTTAGCCTTATAAGAATACACAATTATTTCTTGTATGAGTCCTCTAAAAGGACTCTGTCTAGGTGACTTTGAAAGCTGCAAGACCTTCTGTAAAAAGACCCTGAATGTCAATTCTATTCTGAGAAGTCACATGGTACAAGACCTTCACCCAAAACTATCTATAAGTGTATGACCATCTTTGGAAAAGGATGTATGGATATATGTGAGAAGCTGGGCACGGATCAGGAGTGATCGCCTGCAGGAGATGCTCGGCTTTGTTTGTTAATAAAGTCTAATATTTCTGGCATCAAAGATCTCTGCGAAGTTACTTTACAGAACAATTGAAACCACTTCACTGGCCACACGATACTGTTGCGCATCTTTCTGCGCGTCGTGTGTGTGCGTCATTGGAATGGAATGAATGAATGAGTGTGTGCATCAGGACATTCACACACAGAGCGTTCTCTTTAGTCTAATCGCGCATAGATGCAAAAAAAGCGTTTGCAGTTCATATAATGTAACGATAGTTACAATACAAGGATGATGCTGCGTTCATTTACGTTAAGCCTTTTTTGCACTTCCTGATTTCCCTACTTGAGAATCCTTGTCCAATGAATGGACGACCTTAGCACATGTGTGGTTTTGTTTACAAATTTTGGTTCACTTGCAAAAAGAGCGGTGTGAAAGCGAACCGTATAAAAAAAATGATTTGGTCCGGACCAAAGCAAGTGAACTATCGGACTTTCCTGGTGTGAATACACCCTCAGTGCAGCTTCAAAGTCTCGACACGATCCAGCCGAGGAATAAGAGTCTGATCTGGACAAACCAGCGGACATTTTATAAACAAAATAAACATTTATATACTTTTAACCACAAATGCTGGTCTTGCACTCGCTGTGATGCGACACACATTACGCGTGTTTCGGTTCAGAAATGTAGAGTAGGGTGAAGAACTCCATCTCATTTTCTCCTCCAACTTCGAAATCGTCCAACATCGTTATTTTAACTTTTAATTTATTTTATTTTATTTTTGTAAATGGCACTTGACTTAGTCTTTTCACATTCGCTCTGTAAACACTAGGTCTGTTCTTCACGCGTGACCTTTCAACACGATTACGTAATGCATGAAGTCATGGACGTACAAGACGAGCATTTGTGGTTAAAAGTATATAAATGTGTATTGTGTTATAAATGTCCGCTGGTGTCTCTAGATCAGACTCTTATTCCTCGGCTGGATCGTGTCGAGACTTTGAAGCTGCACTGAAACTCACATCTGGACCTTCGACCCGTTGGACCCCATTGAAGTCACTATATGGAGAAACATCCTGGAACGTTTTCCTCAAAAACCTTAATTTCTTTTCAACTGGAGAAAGAAAGACATGAACGTCTTGGATGACATGCGGAGAGTAAATTGTCACTATTCCAATTCCAATATAGTCCAATTCTCACTGTTATGACTTCTACCTCAATAAACTCCTAATACCTGCTTAATAATAGTTAGTAAGGTAGTTGTTAATAGGATTAAGGGATGTAGAATATGGTCATACAGAATAAAGCATTAATATGTGCTTTATAAGTACTTATAAACAGCCAATATCCTAGTAATATGCATGCTAATAAGCAACTAGTTAATAGTGTGAAGTTAAACCCTATGGAAATTGGAAAATGCCAGAACTGATTTATCTGTATTTTCGAAAAAGTCCTGTTCACACTTCACAGATGATCTCTAAGCTGTAATATACCGGTAATTTAAAAAGTCTATGAGTGAAAGGCTCATGTTATGACTCTCCAGGTTAAATAAACAGACATTGATTCACGGCAGACTGAACGATCTTCTTAAAGCAGTGAGGAGCAGATCATGGCTGGAGTGGGTCAGACGCTCTACCTGAGACTTCAGCCAGGACAACGCCTTCTCTAGGAGCACACGGACTGGTGACACACGGGATTGCCACCATTCCTTTCATTTCACCTTGTAAGGACATTTCTTTTCTTCTTTTATATCTTGTTTAAGGATGAATTAGGGCAATTTGTAACAAATAGGATCTGCTCCATCACAAGCAAGACTGTTCTATCTGGGTCACCATGTGATTGAAACAACAAAAATAAAAATAAAATACATCCCTAGATTACCCTGAATGCCAAATCACACTGTACCGACCGACGCAGACCGTCACCAGATTACAGTACGTCTCTTCTCAGACATTCCACGACCCGACAAGTTTTTAAAATCATTACATTAATGTTACATATTGTTCTTAGTACTTCTTTCCAGTGACTTTATTTTAATCATGAACAAGCCCGACTTGAAATGTCTATGCTTTGCTAATTCTTAATATTTATAATAAAGGCAGTAATATTCTTATTAGAAATAAAACTGCCTAATTTTTTTAGCAGTGCATAACTGTAGCTGAATAGTTAGGCCTACTGTGCTACTGTGTTTCATATTGGTCATTATGGTGGTACTTGGTGTAAAAAGTTTGAGAAGAGAACCACTGATTTAATGAAATCATAGACTTCTTAAGTATAATAACCACATATCGGCAACTCTGTTTTGCCGTCCCGAAATTTAAGACCTCTTAAAATGACAGTTTAGACTTTTGTTATACTTTTTAAGAGTTTTTATAGTTTTAAATTTGATCAAAATAAATGTAAAACTTTTTAAAGAACTAATTAGTTTATCAGGTAAAAGAAATAACGTGCAATTGTTTTTTCCACTATATAGTAAGCTATACATATGTACTATGTACTTAGTACATGTATATAGCCTATGTACTAATAGTATAATGATTAACCGACAGTTGATAGAGACCCGATTTCATGGGAGGACGTTATTACACAGGTTGAAAAATAGCTGATTTCTCTAGATTGGATAATGTAAATACACAAGTCAAAATATATAACTTGGATATTTTAATCCAAAAACCTTATATTATGCCTTTAAATACACCAAGAGCAGGAAACAGATGATTGCTCCCTGCGCATGCGCACACCTGCATGACAGCTGTGTTTTTAGCATACGAGTGCTCAAGCTATGGTTTATCTTTATTACTCTGTCTGCTATTACTCCAACTCAACTCGTACTATGACTAATAAACACAACTGATATTTTTATGTTCGCCTTTGGTGTCATTAATCATTCACACATCCTCATCCCCGTTAGCTAGATATAGCTCCACGACTAGCACAGGTTTGGATGCTTTATTAAATTAACTGCAGCACTGTTACACATACGCGACCTCACACACAGGAGAAATACGAAGCTGTGGAAAATAATCACTCTGGTTTTAAAAGACTTCAATGATGTAAAAATACTCTCTGAATTACCTCATATTGTACCGCGAGCAGTGCTGCTGTCTGCAGAGATTTCACGCGCTACGTGCGCGTACGTGTGTGTGTGTTTCGGAGAGAGAGAGACAGAAAGTGTGTGTGTGTGTGTGTGTGTGTGGTGTGGTGTGGGGAGATCGAGAGAGAGTGCTCTGCAAATTTCAGAAACTGTGGTCAAAATCCTGTAATTCAAGGAAGGTTTTTCTCCATTATGTTGTTTCTGTGAGTCAGAAACAATCGTACATTTATTTTTCAGTTGCACTTATAAAACATTTTTAGTCCAAAAGGCTCATTATTTTAATTTATTTTGATGTTTTTTTTTGTTTGTTCTTTTTACAATAACTGATGCATACATGGTCTCGTTTATAGAACACGATACTGGTTTACTGGAGATGAACAATATAAAACATTTTTGAAAATAAAATTCATGTCAGTTGTACCAAAATAATTCCTTTCCACTGACTTTAATCTTTAATTCCACTGACACAATAATCTCGATAAAGAACAACCGTAAAGTGAGACCTCTCTGCTGTTGAAAAAGATAATGTATTAGATATGTGACCATTTTGGTTAAAAAAAAAAAAAGAAAGAAAAAGATTTGTTGTTTTTTTCTCCCCTGTGTTTTATAGTTTCATTTGTGATGGCTCTGTATTCCTCTACTGTAAATTCACTAAGAAAGAGTGTTCAGAAAAATTCAATTTAATGTATAATTTTATTAAATTGTTTGATTACACAAGTTAAAATGAGAAAATATTAAAAGTCAGATGCATAGTTGTATGCAGTTCTTCTGTCTACATCTCATCCAGAACTGTAGGTGGCGGTAATGCTCAGCGTTTCCCTCTGTCATTCCTCAAAGCAGGAAGAGCATTCACGCCACAAGCATCATTCCTGATCCTGATCCTTCCTGTTCCTTCAGGAGGAGAAACAGTGGGAAAGCAACAACACAACATGCGTCTGTCCTGAACTAAAGTAAGAAAGCATGGAAAACGAGCGTCTGTCTTTGTGGGAAATGTGTTTCTAGATTCTTCTCTGGCTGTGCTTGCAACCCAAAAGGCATTTTTAGAAATAATAGTTGCATATGATGCCCACAATTATTATTATGTAAGTTAGGCTGCTTACTGAATTTTGGTACTATGATACTCAAAGATGTTGCCTAAATTAGGCACCTTAGTAGGTTTTGGAAATCTTTTTCTGTTCGATCACTGTAGCCTACCTAAAACACTGAATATTTAACAGTGCTCAACGCTAAGGATTATTTACTCACCCGGATGGGATTCCGATTTTACTTTTTACTTCTCCAAAGTTTTCATTAGCCCTGGTAAAATTTTTTTTTTTTTTATATAACTTTCGTTGTTTTTGACCCTTGTATTCTGATAAATAAGGTTACGACACAAAAATGTATACCAGTGTAATTTCTCAATTCTTTATTTCGATATACCAAGGAAAAAACTACCAGGCTAATATGGTTTAAATGAACAAATTACAAGAAATATTTTTTCAGGCCACAGAAGGAGAATTTAAAGAGCTTGTGCATTAAAGGCTTTTTAAAGAGACACAAAAGTATCCCAGAGTGATCCGTATATTCCAAGTGTTTATGATCCGGTTTGGTGAAAAACAAACTGAAATGTAATATCAACCCTCGTCTAAGGACACACTGAAGCTAAAGTCCACATTGGCTAGTACTTTTTTTTTTTACTCGCCAGACTTTGAATGCAAGAAAAATGCAAATAAAATAAAAAATAGATAAATATAACATAAAATTATAAAATGTAAATTTCAAACACAAGTAATCAGTCTGTAATAAAATAAGAAAAATAATGAAACTACAAGCAATAGCATAAAATAAACAATAGAACCGATACAAATTAAATAAACAGTGATTTTCAGGTTTTGCATGTAGATCTAACACTAACAGTTGTTAGATTATTAAATATAGCCTTATTAAAGTTGCAGAAGTTATTCAGTTAAGAGCAATTTCTTTTGTTGTTTGACTAACATTATAAACACAGACGGCACCTTTAGGAATATTAGGCTGCTGTCACTTTAAGAGCGAATGCACAGATCCAAAATACTGATACATGTTTACTAGGATACTCGCCAAGATGGATATTTTGACATAATTTTCTGTCAGATCGTCTATTCAAGCACAAGACGTGGTGAGAGAGCTTAATTCAGTATTCATGTGCTGTCAGACGCGGTTTCCTGAGCGAGTGCTTCGGATGTGCGAGGTTTTTCGTGTCTTTTTTCGCTTGAATGTTTAAAATGGCCAGGCTTAAAAACACACACAAATGATACACTTTAATGACGATCCCGCACTGGCCCAATCGGGACAGCGTCAATTCTCCTTACATGGCATGTGTAAAAGCCTCTCTTGTTCTCTCACGTTGTGTGTGTGTGTGTGTGTGTGTGTGTGTGTGTGTGTGTGTGTGTGTGTGTGTGTGTGTGTGTGTGTGTGTGTGTGTGTGTGTGTGTGAGAAAGCGACAGAGGGCGCCCACAGTCAAGGTACGGTGTGTAAAGCTCAAAGCTCTGCGCTAAATTTATTTATTTTTGCCTCAAACTCAATCACATGCCTAATTGTCTAATTAAAGACTTTTTTTTTAGTCGCTTAGCATGAAATTTGGTCGCATATTCGAGTGATTTACTCGCATTGTTGAGGATTGGTAAATGATGACTTAATTTTCATTTTAGGGGCTGTTTACACAACAGTTTTCAACTAAAAATGTAAAACTTTTTATCCATTTTGGCTGTTCGTTTACATGACAACAGCGTTTTGGGTGCCTTAAAACGCAAACTTTTGAAAACCGGTTTCAAAGTGGGCGTTTTTGAAAACGGTCTCTGTGTAAACCACAAAAACGCTAATGATGTCATCCACATGCGTATCTATTACGTGTTCAGTCTATAGTGTTTCATCGGCATCTAATGTCCTGGCAGCAGAATACAGCGTTTTTAGTTGTTTTCGCGTATGCGTGTGAATGGGGATCGTTTTGACAATGGTGTCGTCTGTACGTGGAAAACTCAAAGCAAAAACTTCTCCGCTTTTACTCGTTATCATTGTAAACGTACCCTTAGGGTGAACTAACCCTTGTCATAATTAGTTCCCTCGTTTTAAATAAATCGTGTGCATGACATAATAATGTGTTGCCACAATTTAGTAAAACGAGGGACCTAATTAGTAAATCGTGTTGACGTATTTGCAAGTCGTGGGAATTCATTTTTAATTTATGGCCATATTTTTTCTTGCATGTCGTGTGCGTGGCTCCGTAGAAATGGAATAAGTAATCCATTGTAAAATAACACCATGAATCAAAATAAAAAAATGAAGGAATATCTGGGTTTAAAAAAAATAAAATAATTAATTCAGCATCTCTACTCTGATGATGAGGGCGGAGCTATAACCTATCACTCACATGAGATCCACCAATAGCAAACCACAACCATCCATTCAATTCCCCACAGACAAAATGAAGCCCCGCCCACATTTGTTCTTGTTTGAGAAGCACTCTCTTTCACTCGGATATACAGCATAATAGTGCAACTTCTGTTTCATGCTGACTTTAAAGGAGTAGTTCACCTCAAAATGAAAATTTCCTGATAATGTACTCGCCCCAATGCCATCCAAGATGTTCATGACTGACTTTCTTCAGTGGAAAATAAATTAAGTTTTTTGAGGAAGACATTTCAGGAATTTTCTCCACACAATGGACGTCAACGGTAACCAAATTGTTGAAGTCCAAATCAATGCAGTTTCAAAGGGCTCTGAAGAGCTGGACGTTGACTGAAGTACCGCCCCATTGTTTACAAGCGTGGAGGAGGAGGATCGTTCAAATTTTATTGTATGTTGAATTACATATTTATGTCTTTGTGTCAGTTTATTGTTTAAAATGGTCCTTTCGTGTGCGTATCCTGGATGTTTAAAACAATGGGGCGGTGCTTACGCCTACGTCCAGCGTGACCTTTTCAACGTGATGACGCAATGCCTGGCAGACCAGCACAAGACGAACAATTGTGGTTAAAAAGTATATACGTTTTTATTTATTTTAGAAAATGGCAGATTGTTTTGCTAGATAAGACCCTGTTCCTCAGCAGGGGTCGTGCAGAGCCCTTTGAAACTGCATTGATTTGGACTTCAACAATTTGGTTACAGTTGAAGTCCATTGTGTGGAGAAAAATCATGAAATGTTTCCCTCAAAAAACTTAATTTCTTTTCCACTGAAGAAAGAAAGTCATGAACATCTTGGATGGCATTGGGGCGAGTAAATTATCAGGAAATTTTCATTTTGAGGTGAACTACTCCTTTAATAATATTCACAATCACAGTCCGGGTGTAGATGCTTGAACTACATTGCAGTTTAAGGGTGAAGGAGGTTTGACTCCCGTGTCCCTTCCCTCCTCAGGTTGGCTATGGCGCTCCGCCTGTGGTGTATCGCGGTGTTCCCGCTGTTCTGCGGGGCGCAGGGGCCGGCGGACGCAGGGGACGGCGGTGTTTTCCAGCCCCAGAGTGCCCTCACTGACATGGAGTTCGCCTCAGTCAGCTCCTACCGCGGCCCTGGAAACACCGACCCTCGGCCCAATAGAGAGCTGCCCATCCTCCTGTGGTGGAGCGCCAATCTCTTCCCACACTTCCCAGGAGACACGGAGCGTGTGGACTGTTCCCGCTCGTCCTGCCTAGTCACGAGCAACCGGAAAGTTCAGTTGTATCGCCGCACGGCATCCGTTATTTTCTACGGCACAGACTTCCGTGCGTACGAGGCTCCGCTGCCACGAATGCCCCATCAAACCTGGGCGCTTTTCCACGAAGAGTCTCCCATGAACAACTACCTCCTGTCTCACAGTGTTGGGATCCGGCTGTTTAACTACACGGCCACGTTCAGGCGGGAGTCGGACTATCCGCTGACACTGCAGTGGTTGCCCTCGCTGGATTATCTTCTGGCGCCGACGGCCGTGCCGCTACCGGAGAAGAACCGCTGGCGGCGGGCCGGTCTCGCCCCTGTGCTCTACATGCAGTCCCACTGTGATGTGCCTTCGGACCGGGACCGCTACGTTCAAGAGCTCATGAAGCATATAGAGGTGAGTACTCCCTGCAGTCAATCATTGTATCCCTTAAAACTCATCTTTCATCACAAAAATGACATCCTTGGAAAAAAAAAACATGCCTTAAAATATCTTGAATGTAACTCGACACCCTTGCCTCATTTAGTATGCGTGGTTGTATGAATATGCAAATGAGCCCCGCCTCCACTCACTCCCTCAGCTCAGAGATCCACTGGTTGACGATCACACGTTGATCTGATTGGTTACAAGGTCGTTTGTGACGTCAGAAACACCAGCGATTTCAAGCCGTGTTTGTGAGACTGTCTTTGGTTCACTGCAGTTTTAAGCAGAAAATACTCAGCAATGCTGTCGACTTATGAACTTACACATGGTGTGTCTTAAAGCGTATTAAAAACACCACATAGACACATAAACAACATTAAAAGCTTGATTTACACCACAGGGGGACCATAACACCTTAGCCCCAGTTTGCTAGTTTCTGATTTTTAGCTTCAGACTTTGAGTCCATCCAGTCAGAGGTGATTAAATATGTTTTTTTGTTGTTTTTTTTATCTTAAAACACTAAAAACCAGTTCACACCAAGGAGGGTAACTATTATGATAATGATAAATATTTAGCACCATATTTACTAACATCTTGCCCCAGTGCAAACCCTCTTTTGGTGTTAAACTACTGTCAGGATTTACTAAAGACACGCAGTGTAAAATGATCGCTGAAATGGCGTGTACAGGGTTAGTTTTGCGGCTGATGTTATTGCACATGTAGGAGTTTCCCTTTCAGAAGCAATATTTATGGGAGGAGAGAATTTAAATGAATCGCGCAAGATGATTTACTAAGGTTTGCGCTCGTCATTTTACTGGTGTTTGCACCATTATTAACCACCAAAAAGCATCTCTTAAACCAGATGCTAACTGGTAAATTGCGTTGGTCATTATGGAAATGATCCGGCTGTGTCTGTGTTCTTTAAATTGTGTGTCGTCAGAAGATCATTAACATTAGAGATGAACATATATCGGCCGATACCGATATGGTGCATCCCTAGTTTAAAGCCATTGTGAAATACTCCATAAACACACACTTGTGACCTCATCACATCAGTATTAAACTGTCCCACTGCGTTTGTGTTACACTTTTGTTGCTGTGTTTATTTATGAAACCTTGCCAGCTGTATAGTAAGCGTTTTATAAAATCAATAAGCCCAGTGAAGTTTACAGTGATTTAACCCCTGTTCCCAGTAAACCACCGCTTCACACTGCACAAGTATGAGACTTCCTATAGTGCATGTGTTGAGTGCCTTAATACATTTATCAAATAAAGTATATTAGGGCTGCAGCTTTCGATTATTTTAGTTCTAAAATGTGACCCTGAATCACAAAACCGGTCATAAGTCACACAGGTGTATCTGTGGCAAGCCACCAATACATTGTATGGGTCAAGTCAAAATTATTTTCTCTTATGCCAAAAATCATTATGATATTAAGTAAAGATCATGTTCCATGAAGATATTTAGTAAATTTTCAACCGTAAATATATAAAACATATATTTCCGTGAGTGAATGCAGCACAGTCGCCAACATAAAAGATTCCAGATTTTCAAATAGTTGCATCTCGGCCAAATTTTGTCATATCCTAACAAACCATACATCAATGGAATGAGATTTATACATAATAAATACTGAATAAATAAGCTATTTAAAAAAATTGACCCATGTGACTGGTTTTGTGGTCCAAGGTCACAAATCCCAGTAAACCACCGCTTCACACGGCACACGTATGAGACTTTCTATAGTGCATGTGTTGAGTGCCTTAGTTCGCACACACACTATCAAATGAAGTATGCTTTGAAAGGATGTGTCTTTAAAACTTGTCGCCTCCTCAGATTGACTCGTATGGGAAGTGCCTTAACACGAGACCCCTGCCTGAGCACCTGGAGGACACGAGCACGGCCACCGGCGAGGACGGGCGCTTCATGAGCTTCGTGGGCCGCTATAAGTTCCACCTGGCGCTGGAGAACGGCCTGTGCCCGGACTACATGACTGAGAAGCTGTGGCGGCCCATGCACCAGGGCTGTGTGCCCGTGTACAGGGGCTCATCCTCGGTGTCCGACTGGCTGCCGAACAACCGCTCCGCTATCCTCGTTGATGATTTCCCTTCTCCTCGAGAGCTGGCGGAGTTCATAAAGGCTCTGGATCAGGACGACGAGGAGTACTCGCGTTACCTGGAGTACAAAACGCCCAGGCGCATCACTAACCTGCGTCTGCTGGAGGCGCTGGAGAGCAGAGAGTGGGGCGTCAATGACATGAGTAAACCCAACTACCTGAACGGCTTCGAGTGCTTTGTGTGCGACCGGGAGAACGAGCGGCTGGCAGCGGTGAAAGCGCACCGGAAGAACCCGGACCTGAACCCGCCGCCTCAACCGAAGATGGCCACCAGCGCACACATGGGCTGCCCGCTGCCCAGTCCTGGACACGGCCCGGTGGAGAGCATCGACCCAAATGACAGGTGAACGCCGCTTTCATTCATCACCGTTTGATCAATCTGTGCATTTCACTCTTAAAGGCTCACTGAAGTGTCTTGTTTGATGCGTTGACGCAATCTCCACTGAAACAGGAAGCTAAGGTGGGACGTATTGAATGGCTCCTCCCCCTTTTCGAATAGCCAATAGCGTTTAGTTTCCCTCACAGACTGACAGCACCATGGAAGCGAATCCGAGCGCTGATGATACGCTGGATTCAATAGTAGAGATGAGAATAAATTCTAGCCATTTCATTCGTAACGGATAACGCAATAAAACTCGAGCGCCTGAGCAACCGAACACACACTCCAACACACATTGCTCTGTGACGTGTGAACGCTTGCTTTGGCCAGGTGGTGTTTATAGCAGAGGGGGCGGAGCTTTAGATTCTAGAGAGCATTTGATTGGACAGATGTGATGAGAAGCTGAAGCCCGCGGTGATGTCATAAAAATCCCTGATACATTTTAGCGGAAGTGAGAAGTTTTGAATGCTTATCTCTCCTAAATGCTCGTTTTTTTTTTTCATTGTTTTGAAACACACCACCTTATTCATAACCTTAAGGCTGACATATTCATACTAAAAGCTAAAAAACAGAAGACAGAAAACAGACAGAATGCTCAAACATCCCTGTTTTTTCTCATCATTGGCGCTACTAGGGGTCTGCGATAATATCGTGATTGTTGTTATAACGATGTGCAATCTGACATTATCCCTCACTTTACAAAAACACCCAGAGACTAGAGAGAGAGTGCACTCGTACACTTCATGATGTCGTCTAGTAGGTTAGACTAGTGCACTTGTGCATTTAGAGCGCACGCTTTCACTGCGGGATTTACTCTCAATGTTCAAGATAAATGGCAAAAATACCTCTAACTAAATTAATTTATATAAATATAAAAGACAATCAAAATCACACGAAGAAATATATACAAATGTACATATATACACATGGAGTGCCGTTTTTTTCTCCAAATATCACAGCATGTAATTTTGATTAAAAAGTTCAATAAACAAGTGCATATTAGGTAATATTAACATTTTAGACACAATATTGCCTGTTTTTGCTCCATTTCACCAATGAAAATAGTTCCAAACAAAACCACAGGACTGAGAAACTCCCAGCGGTGTTTCATTACTGAATAATAATAATAAACGGAGCAAATCCAAGAGGGTCCTTACACAATCGTGCTCGGGCCCTAATGAATGATTCAAGGACTCGCTCATTAACGGTGACTTGCTGCCACCGACTGGCCGTTTACATTTCACATTTAAAGTATCTTTCAATATTCAGCATTTCATGTTTAAAACCTCCGCACATTATTTCTGCGTGTGTAAGTGCAGGTTAAACACACTGATGTCCCTCTGATCTGCATTTAACAGTGTGTGTAAAGCATCTAAACTTCAGATGCAGCTTCTGTGTTTCCCCGCAGTGCAAACATTAATCTTCTTAAAACTGATGTGATTTGATTGGTAACAGCTCTATAGTGCCTTATTATTATAATAGAATTTGATTAAATGCAAGAATTTGAGACAAAAGAGGATGCATACATCTAATTAGGTTAAAAAAAATGGCTTTATAAAGGTAAAAATCAATGTAAACTGATTGGAAAAGATGATTTCTGCTGTGAACACCTCACAGAATATGAAGGATATCAGAAACTTTAGGAGTCCTAAACCTGCCAAGGTACAAACACAACACTCGTCAAATTATTGTTATTGATAAAATCCCATAAAGATGTGTTGCCACTTCTGTTTCATGTTGCTCTGAAGTGTGTGTGTGTGTGTGTGTGTCCGTCCTCAATAGAGAGATAATTTTGTCAATATTTCTTCATTTGCAAATTCGCAGCAAATCTTCATTTGTGTGTGAATGTTTTACTCCTTTACATGTTTTATAAGCTCTTCTTAGCTGGTCAAAATACCGTCATATGAACACGTATAGTTTCGGATAAAAAAAAAAAAAGTAAACACAGTCATTGTTCTGTGTTAAAAATGACAGTGGATGCTAAGAAAACCAGGACTAAATGTATTTATTTTCTCTTTTTTTTTTGGTCCTGATCAAAAGAACCAAGAGAACTGAACCACTACAAGTGTGAACACACACCCTAACAAAACATGGCAAAGATGTGTTGCCACTTCTGTTTCGTGTTGCCCTGAAGTGTGTGTGTGTGTGTGTCCTCAGCTGGCTCCAGATGTGGCCGCAGGACTACTGGCAGAGTCTGGATCAGGCCGAGGGCTTGGAGTCGCTCCTCCGGCACAACGAGTCGGAGCCGGCGCTGCTGTGGCAGCACATCCAGAGCATCGCTGTGAGGAGAGCCGGACGACCCTGAGCTCAAGGCACTGGGCTCTGCCAATCCTCTCTGGAAGTGTGTGCTTATATTGTGATATTTCTAACTAAACGGACACGATCACAATCAATAATCTCATTCCACGCCGATATTTCCCGTCAGTATTATGTATTAAGCTCAAGATGTTGCTCTGAGGGCTTCGGCTGGTGTCAGTCAACATTTATTTGCATGATCGTTTTTAAGAGAATCTCACAAGACGCATCAGGTCACATTTTTAGGGATGCATGATATATCTGTCATCATATCGGTTTATTTTTAATGTTATGGTTATCGGCTCGATAAGAAAATTTGGCCAATATATTAAAGCCGATGAAAAATGTATAATTTCCTTCAGCTGAGACGCTTCAGATGCGCACTGTTCATCATGATGGTTTTAAAATGCTTTAAATATGATTGGAATCACTTCAAAAAAGGAAAATACGGTTCAGCGCAAGTCTATCATATCGGCTACATAATATTATAATGAGAACATCATATTTGTGTGTTTGGGACATGGCATTTAATGGTGAGACTTTTGTTTTTGTAATCAGGCTCTCAAAAATGATGTAAATATTTGGGTTTAGATTTATCGGTTTGTAGATATCGGTTATCGGCTTTCAAATATAAAGAATAATCGGTGTTGGACAGTGTTCATATCGGTGCATCTCTACACATTTCACTTCAAAAATCAAAAGATTGTTTTAATAACTTGCATGTGGAGTGGAGAGGGGGTCGACTTTTTCATGGGAGTTATATATTATAACTTGTCTATATATATTATAAAATGCGTCCTTTATGTATCTGGATTTTTCTCTTTTTTTTTATGGTGATGTTCGTGTTTGAAAAATGCAGATTTTTTTTTTTTCTGCATTTTTTCATATTCCAGTAATGGAAATTTGGGGTGGATGAGAGGAGGTTGTATATTGTCATTAATAGGTGTCAATAAGCAAAATGTAATATTTCTTTAGATTTCTGACCTGCAGTTGTTGAATTATTCATGCGATTTTTCCTATAAAACTCCTGAGAACTGTTCTTTATAATCTTAAGTGTTTGCGTACCTCAGTATTTTTTTTATGCAATATTTATATATTTATATTTTCTATTGCACACGACAATATCTTGTAACAAACCAATAAAATGAGAATACAACTTTTATTCATGAGAATGTTGCTTTACAGTATTTCTGATTAGCGATGCAGGAGACATATCTTCATAATGAAACAGTTCCTGAATCATTACATCAATAACATCACTTCTTCAAAACGGTTTCTGGTGATTAAATAGGACAACGACACATGCATTCTTATTGTCTTGATGGCTAAACATTTAAAGGAACAGAATAAAAAAAATATCCTACTATTCTAGCACTAGAAAAGCTTTTCATGAACATGTTCAGAAGGTTTCCAGTGTACTCTTGTGTCAGGGAGGAAGAGGAGGTTGTTTTGGGTCAGTAAACAGTCACACGAGCGCGATGTGTGTGTGTGTGTGTGTGTGGATCTCCTACAGCACATTGGAGTAGCAGCTCTCGCAGTGAACCGTCCCGCGGTGGAGGAACATGTTGTACAGCAGATCTCCCATTGGTTTACTGCAAATACCACACTGGGGTGCGGAGGGAGGGGAAGAAATTCAATACACGTTTTCATTACAGCATGTTGTCATGTATCAATAAGTACACCAGGGTAGTGTATCCCAAACAAGCATCCGGCATATTGTGCCATACAAACGAGAGGGTCGTCTGGGGGAAAGCGGATACGGGATATTACCTTGAAGCAGGACGGGTGACAGGATATGTTCAGGTGTTCGATGGTGATTTTGGCATCGCTTCCCACCAGTTCTCCACAGTATGTACATGAAGTCACATCTCTACTAAACACAAAATGAGGTCGTTAGTCCGGGCTCGTATGACTAACTAATAATAACACTTTCTATGAAGACCATGCTTATTATAAGTATACCTCCATTTATACTTATAAGTATTATTATTTTATAAAGACATATACTGCATTATAAGAACAGTTATAGTTATATTATTTTTATAATTACTTACGCATGTATGCTCATAATACACTGATTTATAAGTATTAATTAGTCAGTCGTATGGCTCCATGCATGCATTTATAAAGATGCAGCCTACATAATGTTATTATATTATAGTTACAATGACTTTTTAGTAACTCAGATTTTTTTAGGTCGAATAAGTGAATATATTGTTATTAATAGCCGTATTGTGTTCTTATAAATACGTATTGAGAGTGATAATACAGTTACTAACTCTATAAATGCATCATTGATGACTTTAAGTGAAAACATATGCAATTTTCCTAAAACAAATGTTAAGAAATCATAAAGATGTACTCATCGTACATTTTAAGTTGTTTACTTGTAAATGCAAGTAATGAACAATAATTCCTGAGATAAAAGAATGAAATGGAAAAACTAAAATAATTGACAATAAATTGATAACTAATTGGTGCAGCAAACAAGTGTCTCTAAATCTATTTATATTTGATCATTTATAAATCAGTGTATAATGGATTATGAGCATGCAAATTAAAAAAGGAAATGCATGACTTATAAGTAATTATAAAAATCATATAACTGTAATTATATCTGTTCTTATAATGCAGTATAGGTCTTAATGAGTCTCTATAAATGCATTTATAGAATAGTAATACTTAAAAGTATAAATAGGGCTATAGTTCATTATAAGCATGGGCTTCATAGAAAGTGAGATGTACTCACACACACACACACACACACACATTACGTGACGCTAGCACTGCGCTCTCCGTTTCAATCGATTCTTAAATCCCAAGAATCGTGCCGTTTTCATTTGATGAATGAACGAATCTTTGTAGCGCCTCCCATTCAACACATCACAATAAGCTTTGATATTTTTTATATGAAAAAGTCTGAGCTTTCCCATTCTGTACATTTTTGTGTCAAACAATAAACGTGTGTTTGTGTCTCTTTAATGTGTGTGCCAGATGAAGCGATCATCTCTTCCTCTACTAGTTACAGCAGCAAATAAACATCAGTGAACATCAGAAGATACAGAACAACTCACCGAATCAAGTCTCCTGTAACCCATCAGTGTTTCAGACGCAGAAAAACGCCATTCAATGACCATAAACTCAATGTTTAACGAGAAAAATAACTCTAGAGTGCATTATTTTGAGCACTATATTGCGTATTCATTGTATTTTTTCTCAACCCATTCTTCAATATTTAATATATTTTAATACATCTTTAATGTTAGCCACCATTTAAATGTTTATATTTCAAAAAACATATGTCGTTAAAAAGTTATTATTATAAAAACTTCCTTATGTGTAATTTAAGTGCCTATACAAATCAGTTAAACCTTTAATAGTGATGTACCGCAACTGTATAGTTTACAACATTAGTGAGAGATTTTTTGTACTGTACCTGATATCCCAATTAATCCATCTTGAATCTAACTACCGGTATATATATATATATATATATATATATATACGCAAGCTTGTGAATCGAAATGAAATTGAATGGTGAAATGCACCCAGCCCTAATTGTTACATACTGAGCAGTCTGTATAATCATAATACAATATTGTCCTTAGTCGTACTGTATGTTCAGTGATTATAGACGTGTTACCTGGAGTAGTGGCTGCTGGGACTGCTGTAGTTGTAGCTGGAGGATGTGGAAGACACGTAGTCGGAGGAGCTGCTGTATGAGGGAAGAAGGGTGTGTGTAGATGACATTGTATTGATCCAGCATGATGTATAACAGATAAAAACAGGTCGCAGCCCAGACAGCAACATAGGCCTCGTTCACACAGCCAGTCCCAATCCCATCATGTGTGTATGTCCACACCCAGAGTCCTAGACAGCAACACAGTGTCGGCCCACATCCGGTACACGTGGCTTCCACACGGCCCAGATGTGGGCCGGATCTGGGCCGACACTGTGTTGCTGTCTGGGAAGTGTGTATCGCAACTGCTCAGATCCGCTCTGTGTGTCCATGCCGCTCTTTCGTTTTCCATAATAACTGCATTGGTTTCTATGGCCATGACGTTGCGTTGGTAGGAATACGGCAAAAACAACAACAACCGCAACATGGAGGGGTTCGCAATAGAGATGTTGTCTTATTTTAATTTTACAGCATGAGAGTGTGTAGCCGGCGCGCTGGACTTCTGTGTTTCCTGAGGCAGAACCGTGTGAGGCTGGTATGCGCTTGTCTCCGTCGGTTTACAAATATCTCTCCGTTATATCGTCATTTTCTGCTCGTCCGGCACTTTGCAACAACACAGCGCTGTTTCGGCGGTCGAAACAATGTTTCCTATAACAACGTCTGACGTTTACGTTTTACGTGGCGTGAGAAAGTCACATAAACCACGCGAAATCCCATCAGAGCGGTCAGACTGAACGGATTTCCAGAAATGCGATTTGAATAGGATTTCAAACACCACATATGAATGTACTGGAGCTCGAAACGGGTTTGTAAAAATAGAATTTTTTGTTGTTCACATTAGCTAATTCTGATCGGATTTCAATCAGATATGCACAAAAATCAGATTTGGACTGACAGTCTGAACGTAGCCATCGTGTCGGCCCACATCTGGGCCGTGAGGAATCAATTGGCGCTTTTCCACTGCTGGTACGGCTCAGTACGGTTCGGCTCGGCTCGGCACGGTTCGGCTCGGCGCGGCACGGTTCGGCTCGCTTCGCTTTTCCACTGCGTGGTACGACTCGGCTCAGCACGGCTCGGTTCGCTTTAGCTCGGTTTGCTTTTCCACTGCAGTTAGTACCGCTTCAAAGTGGGTGGGATTATAGCAGTGCCCTAGATTTCTGATTGCTGGAAAAAAAAAACTTGTAGGCAAAATATTTTTTAGTGATTATGTGAATTACACTGCGCAAACCAAAGTAATACTACCCACCGGATGAAGAAGGGTTGGCTCTCAGTCTCCACGGTAGCCTACATAAAATATTCATTTTATTTTATTCGATTTTTCGTGTTCGCATTTACGCAATGTTACGGACGTGTTCTCCGTTACGGACGTGAGCGCTCTGAAAGCGGCACTAAGATGCTTTAAACTTCATCAAACAGAAAGCACAAAACCTTTCTTTAACCTGAATTTCGTTTTGTATTAATTGTATCTTCATTTTAATCAATGTTTCATCAACCAATTGCCTGGATTTGATAAATAAGAAGTAAATATAGCAGACGATAGATAGGAAACGGAGGCGCCGGCGCGTGAACTGGAGCTCGTCTCATTAATGAACCGAAACTCAGCATATAAGGTAGCCTACTTGCCTCACATGTCTACTTTTAAACAGAACAATTCAAAACCAAAGAAAACAGACTACAGACTGCTCTCTGCTTATGTCATCCTTATGAAATGTGCATTTCTCTCTGGCACGTTCACTACTGAAGATCGCGAGTCAGCATTGTCAACTTTATCTTAGCCGACAAAGAAAACACTTGTTTATTAATAAACAATTAAAATATCTCCTTGCAATATTTTACATATTCATAATCATTACTTTTGCCGGTTCTTTGTGAAGAACAGCGGTGGCTGTTACTGGCTATTTAAATCTAGCGGGTTTGATGTCTCGCAAATACAATGACGCTGGTAGTGACGATTGTGTCTGACCAATCAATGATCTGCAGTGTGTTCACGTCACATTTTAGTATCGGTACGGTACGCTTGGAACCTCGACAGAGGTGGTGCCATTTAAAGCGAGCCGAAGCGAGCCGTACTGTGCAGTGGAAAAGCGCCACAAGTGAGCCATGCCGAGCCGAGCCGTACCGTACCATGCAGTGGAAAAGCGCCAAATGTGTACCGGATGTGAGCCGGATCTGGGCCGACACTATGGCTATGTGTTTACACTTGGCATTAACATGCGACCTGTATCCGGATTTGTCCACATACACATTGAAAAGACAAGTGTAAACGCACTTCTGATGGGAATGTTATCCGATCAGTGTGTCCAGGTTCGGAGGGAGTCAAGGACGCATTGTGATTGGATCTCAGTGTAATGTAAACGCAATCCAGCCGTCGTGTCTGACGTCACAGAAAACATCATCATGATGTATTGTGTGCATGACTGTACAGAAGTATACGCCGCTTGACCTCCGCCTCACCCATGCATTTCATGGTCATTTTGATTCAGATTTTTTTTATATTTCTGTTACTTTTGTATCATACGCAAGGCATTTTGGTACTGTGTTGAGTCTTAAATCTGGATCCTGAAGCAAAACAATTGAGAAAAGCAAACTCATTTAAGATAATAATGCCTTCAGCTTACCTGAAATCAGGTTCATTATTCACATATTCCTTCACAAAGACAAACCCCCTAGAAAACAGAGAACAAAGGAGATCAGGCATTCAACAGGACAATCGTGATCCGGTTCAACGATCGGCTTTCATTGGAAGAACACTTACTTCCTGGACTCGGGTTCGGGTAACTTCTCCGGGACCGAGCTCTCCACTGTTTTGGAGCTGGTTTTGTTACTACAAGACAGAACAGTCAGTGTGTGAGTAATGTGGTCTCAGACAGCATGACACATGCACACTATCACACGCCTGGCAGTGAAGCTTCTCCTCTGCGCTTATGTAAATCACGTGTAATCACGTATGACTGTTTAGTTTGACTGCAAACATGCGATCTATGGTGAAGATAGGAGAGAAAGGCGGCCCTTTTAAAGTGTCTGTGACGGCGCTATTTCAGTGAGATCCTTGAAGAAACAATGAGTAACCCAAGAGCTAAAGCTGGACTTATGAGCTGTTATCCTAGTTAACCTGGCCTATATTTCTTAAACAGGAAAAGCTAGTTTTGACCAATATATGAGTATTACATGATGGTTTGACTGTAAATACTTGTTAACCCTAATTTTAAAAATGCTTGACATTGTAATTCAAAAATTATTAAAAATGAATAGACTTCAAAGAGCCCCCATAAGTGTGTTAATGCAAAGATTAGACATTATAAATGAGGTTGGAAACTTTCTTGCAGAAAATGTGTAATAAATCTGAAAGTTAATATTATACAAGTAGGCTAAATCATTGTGTAATATTACTAAGAACATGTGCTCTTATGTGTGCAAACATATACTGTATATATATATATAAACTTCTTTTTTAAATATGTTTTTGTCAGGGGGGAACTTATAAGGAGGACATAAACAAATATTAAAACTTTCCCCCTCAATAATTATTATTTTTATAAAAAAACGTACAAATCCGAATCTTGAATCTTAAAGAATCTCGAAATGAATCATGTTTAATTAATTTATTATATCAACACACCCAGTTTATGCTGATAAGAAAGTTTGACGATGAAAAGCAATGATATAATAACGTCAAAAGTATCAAAGAACGATGTGACAGCATTTTTAGTTTTCTTCAATCACCCGTATGATTATTGGGATTTGCTTGTATTATTGTTTTGGGAAGTTAAATAGTAAGCGATGTTTATCAAAGACTTTATATCATAAGAAGAGCATCTCTTTACCTGTCCATGTCCGTCCTCCAGTCGCTCCTGTGAAGAAAGCAGAGCAAGTGTTATTCCCGAGAGCGCGAGCACATGTGAACGAGCGCTCGATAGTGTGTGAGAGTTCAGGGCTGGGTTTGCCACTTACACCTCCGGGACTTTAACCCATTATGTTATTGACTTGTCATAGCAAAGATCTCTATGCAAACAATATGAATCAACACAGACATGATTCTCAAGTTGCGCTCATAAAGATGACGAAACCGATCTTTTCTAATTACCTTTTAGTGTCAAATGGAATGACATCTTCAGCCAAGGAAACCAAAACATCGTTTCGCATACTATTCATAAAATACAAAACATCTAGATTAATATTTCTGGTTAATCAAATGCATAGTGTATAATGACATTCTGAACATTTTGCAAATATTTTTTATATTATAAATAGGGCTTGATATGAACTTGTTTGCTCATCAGTCGCTGTGGCCAGTGGTTTTCGAAAGTTACGAGCCACTCAGCATTTACACTGGCCACAATTTTGACATCGATATAATGGGGGGACACTGCCATATAGATATTTTTAATATTATCTCATAATTTGGCATCAGGAATATTAGGCTTCTGTCACTTTAAGAGCTGACGCACGGACCCGTTATACTGTTACACATGCGTTTTCTTTCTCAACTGTTTACAATCACTTTAAACAGAACTGACTGTGTTTACGTGAATACTCGTCAAGACCGGCATTTTGACATTATTTTGTGTGTTTGTGACCGTTTAAGGGCAATAAGCAGCGAAGAAGAGCTCAGTTTATTACTGAGAGGCGGCTTTATGTGTGTGAACTTTGTGTTTGAGCACAAAATCTGCAGGAATGAGTAAAATTATGTGCAATACACACAATCCCACGGTGAAATTCAAGCCCAGTAACAGCAACAATATTCATCCGGAGCAAATGAATGGAGTGAGTGAAGAGAGGCGGGTTTGAGTGTCACTCGCTGTCGGAGAGAGAGAGAGAGAGAGAGAGAGAGAGAGAGAGAGAGAGAGAGAGAGAGAGAGAGAGAGAGAGAGAGAGAGAGAGAGAGAGAGAGAGAGAGAGAGAGAGAGAGAGAGAGAGAGAGAGAGAGAGAGAGAGACGCTGGTATCCTGTATCTATTCTGCGGGTGTTAATGTCAAGCCCTGATTATAAATTAAATGAAATTAAATAAAATATAATCCATGTGAATTGATTTAAACACTCACTTAGCAACCAAGTCTACAGGTTTCTGAACATCATTGCCTGTATCTGTGGAACTGAACATTAAAATATACACTATTATTATGACAAACTATATCATGGCACACACAATGATCATGAAGTTATCAAGCGGATCTGCAGAATCACCTCGGGTCCAGTACAGGAGAACGGTACCATTGAGGACTGTGAGACACAAGCACACAGAGACAGAGACATGAACACACACTGTTACACACTGGGAATACACACACACTCACGTCACATTCATTACCTCTTTGTGGGCTCACCCTCCGCCGGTAATGGGTCAAACTCATCGGCTGAGCTGAAAGATAAACCATTTCACACAGATTTAATGCTGAGCTCAGAAACATGTGCAAAGTGGATGTGTGATGTGGCTGAGGCTGTAGTGTGTACTATGATCAACACATGTGCCATCTCTATAATAAAGCAAATCATCATGAGAATTTGTGTATATTTGGGTGGTTTTCATGACATCTCAAACTTTTCCTCGTGTATTACTAATGCAGCACATTTAAAAGATGTTCATTAAATAACCACATGTATGTTGGTCACACAAATCTGTGCCTTATGGAATATCATGGTTTGTTTTCATTATTTAACAGAGGCGATTACACTAAGAACCACTGCTTATTATACATGCAGATTTATGCCCTTGTTTTATTTGAATTAAAGGTACAGCATGTAACTTTTGTTTGTTCAAAAGTTTAAATGAGTCGATACATCATCAATCCTTCCTCTAAAACGTGTTTTTGTTTTACCCAGATTCACTATGGTAAGTCTATTATAAGTGTATATATTTTAGATCTGACTGGATGGTTTTCCCGGGTAAATTGAGTGTGTGTGTGTGTGTGTGTGTGTACTGTCATATGTGTCTCTCACAGAGTTCACTGTAAAGCGTTCTCTATTGTGAAGATCAGTTCATTATAGTTGTTGTGCTGGAGTTTATTCTCCAGGAAGTGTCGTGTTTATTAATGTGTAAAACTACAGTAACGTCTTCAGCTAGTCAGCTTGAGATCTTTCCATCTAAACTGGTTATATCTCTTAAGCCTAGTAGTGAATGTTTTATGAGCAGGAGGATAATCTCTCTCTCTTTAGTTATGATAAAGAATCATATTCATCCGCATAGTCACACAGAGCCGAAGCACAACCAAAACAATGTTCTTCCGCAGAATGAATGCAGTTTAGATGCACTCAAGAGGACCAAAAGTTAAATACTGTACCTAAAGAGATTACATGGAATATTTGTACTTGAAAAAATACTAGTTAAAGGGATTGAGCACATCAAAAAATTGAAACAGAAGCTAAAGTCTGCTTTCTTGACGCACAAGAACCAATCAGAAGTGAAAAAAGTAGATTCAGATTTTACTGCACGTGAAGGATATTATACTTTTGAATGTACTTGAAAATTTTAGCTAAGATCTTGATATTTAAAAAAAAAAAAAAACACAAAAAAAAAACAATGATATCCATGTAAATTGCCAACTAGAAAGAAAGAAAGTTGTACCTCATGAAATCCGCGATCTGAGTTTTCCGGTTATAACTGTAGTCAGCGCTGCTTCTGAGAGAGGTAATATGACACCAGTGGTTTGGTGAGCGTCTTTTATATATTGTTTATGCACTATTCTTCAAAACTAATTAAGAAAAGGTTGAGATGAGCAGAAGAAGCACCTGGTGGTATTAGTGCTGAAGGGAATAAGATCGTCCGCCAGCAGATCCAGACTGTGCTGTGTCTTCTTCGTCTGAGGAAGAGGACTAGAGGAGAAACATCCACGTGTAAATAATGTGTTGGTGTTAATAAACTGCATTATGCCATCTCAAGCAATATGAATACATTTCAATAAACGGTAAGAGATTTAGTAAGGGGACCGGGTTGACAGTTTTAGTTTCATTTGACATAACAAAACTTGTGAACTGAAATGCGTATATTAAAATTAAAAAAGGTGGTATTCCGACAAATATTTATTAAATTATCTTTTTTTTTTTTACTAAATCATTGTCTCCTACTAAAAATCATAAGAGTGAGTGATAAAAAGTGGTTTTTTGTTTGTTTTTTATTTTTAAAAAAAATTATAGTTGACTTGGGGACACAACTTAAGTTCATTTATAATATATAATATAATAATCTAAAAATTTTAAATAAATATACATATATAGAGAGAGACAAAATGTTATCTTACTTTCCTTCAAAATATCCACGTGTTTATAATGTTTATATTAGCACATTAGACAAAGTCTATAGTCAAATTTAGCCTCTGCATTCATAGTTAAATTCATTTTGTACACATATTTCTATGCTTCCGTTTGCAGAATGACCATAACTTCTGTTTTGCATATTACACTCCTCACGGGATCATGTAAAATATAATGATAATAATGATCATGAATGCACACAGCCCCTCTCACCTGTTGTCCATGAGCAGATCCTGACTGAGCAGATCTACTCCTGGATCTGCTTGGCCAGAACTGAAGAACAAGAAATACAGTAAAGATCTCGTAATTACAGTCAGATTCACAATAAAGTCTTTGATAGAGCTCTTGTGTCCTCTTGTGGTCTATTACAGAACAGCGCGGTTTAAATACTCTTTAAAATCAGGCAGAAGACGTATTACTACATAATTATAACATGTCTGGAAAATATTAGTAGTGAGTTACAAGTTCAACCCTGTTACAGTAAATCTGCTGTTCTGTTTATGTATTTATGATTTAAATAAGTGACACTAAAATTCTGTTAGTATCACAAAACAAAATGACAATTCTCTTTGTGATTTATCATATAACAGTTGAAATGGTGACACTTTATTTTCATGGTTGCACCTAAGTGCCAACTAACTGTCATTAGAGTATTAGTAGACTGTCTGTTGTGTTTAATATCTGATAACTCTTTGTTGTGTTGATCCCCTAACAGACATTATACTGACTATAAGTGACTTTGCATGTACATGTTAACTTGTTCTAACCCTAACAGAGTCTTCTAATTCCCTACTAACACCGAGGGTTAGTAGACTTATAGTCAACACAATGTGTTAAAGGGACCCCGATTGGCCCATAGGTGGCGCTACAGCAACCAAAAGTACTACATTGCTCATAACTCCTAGACCGTTTGACTTAGAATCAAGCTTTTTACACCACTGTGATCCTTGGCTCAAGGCGGTCAAAATGTATATCTCCAAAATTGATTTAGGCCCGAAAAATTTTCCGCTATGTCCAATTTTGTCCAAAACCTACTTTGGCGAACTAGTCCCTGTTTTTTTCGCTCGATCGGAACCAGACCAGTCTAGGACAATTCTCTGGACTCTCTAGATCAATAATTATCGAAAAAAAGTTTAACTTTGCCCTTTGGTTTGCTATAACAGCATAATTTATGAAAAGGGGCATGTCAAAACACACTCAAAAGCCTATAAATCATAAATAAAAACTCAGAACTTCACAAAAATTGGTAACCATATGTGACATAATATCATGAACAAGCATGCAAAGTTTTATGGAGATCGGACCATAGGTGGCGCTATAACTGTTGAAAAGCTTTAAAACCATGTATTTCCTATGGTAAATTGCCTGTATTGGCTGTAAATGGTCTTTTCCATCTATTATGTCAGTGTTTAAATGTATGCTAAATAAAACTTAATGTCTTTTGATGCTTATGTGCTTAACGGCCTTAAAGGCCTTAATGCTTGAACACCGCTAAATGCTGCTTGCAGCTTTAATTTAAATTATGTTTTCAATTTAATTTAAATTATGCATGGCTCTACTTTCCCACGGCTACTTTTAAACTGTTGCTGTGGGTTGATTAAGACTATAAGAACTATAATAAATGGCCATTAGTTTTTTCTACGTCTTAGTAATGAGGTTTTTATTTCCAAACTGCTGCAGTAAAATGGTTTCATATGAGGTATAGTATGGGACGACCCCTATAAGAACAGGCCATTCATTTTTTCTACTTATTATAATGACATTCTGTCATATTATTTAGTATTTTCAATAAATAATACATAATATTTCTGATTGTTTTTTGTCTGACCCTATTGCGCATCTTCGGGACACTTAAGCATGAGTTGCATGGGATTGTTTTATGATACCTTTACACTCTTTATTAAAGCTTGGAAAGAGAGTCACCGTATATGAACCCGCACACGCAGAGCATTTTATAAATACATAAACTCTCCTTTTGTGTTTGAAAAAAGAAAGAAGGTCATATGGCTTTAGAACAACACCAGGGTGAGTAAACAATGACTGAACTTTAGGCCTTTCCTTAACAACAGAAATGGAAAACCATATAAAGCATAACAACGAACCTATTGTTTGTAGTATAGCTGTACAAACTTTTCTTTGAATATGTTCATTCATTTGAGCATGAATAGAACTCGACTAAATGCATATTTCCACAATTATGGAAATGTTGCTTATGGACAGTGTTCATATTCATATCTCTGAGTGAGTTTGTGTCCGTGTGAATCACACTGCAATAAATCGACATGACAGTGAGGTCAGATAAACAGCCACAATATCAGCGCACTCACGCAGTAATACCGTACGGTGTATGAAAGCCCTTTACACATGAGCGACACTGAGATTAATGAGTGTAATGTTTATATGACGGGGCTATTATGTATTAATGGGATCATCTTGTACCTGGCAGGCTTTGTGTTGAAGGACACCAGGGTGTCGGACAGCTCAATCAGGCTCTTAGCACTGCAGAGGGATTCAAGAAAAATCAAGAAACTGCAGAATGTAGTGCTGGATGCTTGTATCTATAGACACACATAGGCTATATACACTGAACAAAATTATAAACGCAACACTTTTGTTTTTGCCCCCATTTTTCATGAGCTGAACTCAAAGATCTAAGACTTATTCTATGTACACAAAAGGCCTATTTCTCTCAAATACTGTTCACAAATGTGTCTAAATCTGGTTAGTGAGCACTTCTCCTTTGCCGAGATAATCCATCCCCCTCACAGGTGTGGCACATCAAGATTAGACAGCATGATTATTGCACAGGTGTGCCTTAGGGCTGGCCACAATAAAAGGCTACTCTAAAATGATTTATAAATTTGTTCAGTGTATTTACATTAGATATCCAATTATTTAAATTCAGTTAAATTGAAATATTTATAGAGCAAACCTTTTCTCTGGAACCGGCTCCGGCTTGGATTCAGCTGCTGGTTTTGTTTTCGTCACTGGTTTAGGTTCTGATGTGGGTTTAGGATCAGTTGCTGTCTTAGTTTGTGCTGTTGGTTTAGTTTCAGCTGCTGGTTTAGTTTCGGCTGCTGGTTTAGTTTCAGCTGCTGTAGATTTAGTTTCGGCTGCTGGTTTAGTTTCAGCTACTGGTTTAGTTTCGGCTGCTGGTTTAGTTTCAGCTACTGGTTTAGTTTCGGCTGCTGGTTTAGTTTCGGCTGCTGGTTTAGTTTCGGCTGCTGGTTTAGTTTCGGCTGCTGGTTTAGTCTCAGTTACTGTCTTAGTTTGTGCTGTAGGTTTAGTTTCAGCTGCTGGTTTAGTTTCAGCTGCTGGTTTAGTTTCAGCTGCTGGTTTAGTTTCAGCTGCTGGTTTAGTTTCGGCTGCTGGTTTAGTTTCAGCTGCTGGTTTAGTTTCAGCTGCTGGTTTTGGTTCAGCTACTGGTTCAGGTTCTGTTATAGTTATAGTTGGAGGTTTAGGTACGGTTGTTGTTGTAGGTTTAGTTTGAACTGGTTTAGGATCAGTTGCTGTTTTAGTTTGTGTCGTAGGTTTAGTTTCAGCCACTGGTTTGGGTTCAGTTGCTGTTGTAACCTGAGTTGTTGGTTTAGTTTCAAGTGCTGGTTTAGATTCAGTTGCTGTCATAATTTTTGTGGTCGGTTTTGATTCAACTGCTTTAGGATCTGATGTGGGTTTAGGATCAGTTGATGTAGAAGTTTGTGTTGTAGGTTTCATTGCAGCCACTAGTTTAGCCTCAGTTGTTGTTGTAGGTTTAATTTCAACTGGTTTAGTTTCAGCAACTGGTTTAGGTTCAGTTGTGGGTTTAGTTTCAGTTACTTTTGTAGTTTGTGCTGTAGGTTTAGTTTCAGCAACTGTTTTAGTTTCAGCCACTAGTTTAGGTTCAGTTGTAGGTTTAGTCTCAGTTACTGTCTTAGTTTGTGTTGTAGGTTTAGTTTCAGCAACTGGTTTAGTTTCAGCTGCTGGTTTAGGTTCAGCAACTGTCTTAGTTTGTGTTGTAGGTTTAGTTTCAGCAACTGTTTTAGTTTCAGCCACTAGTTTAGGTTCAGTTGTGGGTTTAGTCTCAGTTACTGTCTTAGTTTGTGTTGTAGGTTTAGTTTCAGCAACTGGTTTAGTTTCAGCTGCTGGTTTAGGTTCAGCAACTGTCTTAGTTTGTGTTGTAGGTTTAGTTTCAGCAACTGTTTTAGTTTCAGCCACTAGTTTAGGTTCAGTTGTGGGTTTAGTCTCAGTTACTGTCTTAGTTTGTGTTGTAGGTTTAGTTTCAGCAACTGGTTTAGTTTCAGCTGCTGGTTTAGGTTCAGCAACTGTCTTAGTTTGTGTTGTAGGTTTAGTTTCAGCAACTGTTTTAGTTTCAGCCACTAGTTTAGGTTCAGTTGTGGGTTTAGTCTCAGTTACTGTCTTAGTTTGTGTTGTAGGTTTAGTTTCAGCAACTGGTTTAGTTTCAGCTGCTGGTTTAGGTTCAGCAACTGTCTTAGTTTGTGTTGTAGGTTTAGTTTCAGCAACTGTTTTAGTTTCAGCCACTAGTTTAGGTTCAGTTGTGGGTTTAGTCTCAGTTACTGTCTTAGTTTGTGTTGTAGGTTTAGTTTCAGCAACTGGTTTAGTTTCAGCTGCTGGTTTAGTTTCAGCAACTGGTTTAGTTTCAGCTGCTGGTTTAGTTTCAGCAACTGGTTTCGGTTCAGTTACTGTTGTAGCTTGTGGTGTAGGTTTAGTTTCAGTCACTGTTTTTGTTTCAAGCGCTGGTTTAGGGGCAGGTGTAGTTTTAGGTTCAGATTTAGTTTCAGGTGCTGCTGGCTTGACCTCCTTCACCACTGGTGCAGTGAGTTGTTCAATACTCGATTTAACACTGTAAATGCAGTAAAATTGCAATTGAGACCGTGTAAAACAAGAAATAAGAGCATGAAGTTGTATAACTGACAGCCTAGAAACCAATAGTGTCGGCCCATATCCGGCCCACATCTGGGCCGTGTGGAATCCACTTGCACCAGATGTGGGCCGGATCTGGGCCGGCACTATGTTGGTGTCTGGGAAATGTTGTGTAGTTTACCTTTGCTTAGACACAGACTGAACAGATGCTGTAGTGTCATCATCATCGCCACCGATAACTACCCTAAAACCACACACATTTGCACAAGGAATGAGGATGAGGCAATAGTAATAAAACATAGGGGTTATACAGAGGGACACTTGAACTTATTGCTGATTTTTATCAATGGAAACATATACACATAATGATAGATGATTAAGCGTAATTTCTGCCATATCATTAGCTGTGCCATTTCACCTCTTTCAACCCTATTTATATTTAGTCAGTTTGTCCTGTTTAACCCAGAAATTTCCCAAGTACCTTTTGGCAACAAAGGATGTGCTCGTCTCATCAGAGTTGTCTGGGTTGTCTGAAGATCTGGAAATATTAGATGTGAACATTATGCAGTGAGGGATGGTATATGCATTCATCCTAATATTTTCATCAAATACTAGTGGTATCTACTTATCCAGACCAACACTAAAAAAAAAAAATAGTGGCGATACACTCTCAAGATACAACAGCTGTTATTGGAGAGATACACATATTTACTTTATTTAGCCCTAAAGGGAACATACAATTGCCGAGAGTGCAGGACACTACCCAAAATCATGGGATTACGTTGGTACATTTCCCAAAAAAACATTTCATCTCTGTATTTCAGAAGAGATATTTTTAACAAGGCACGTACCCATATTTCTTTGCAGCAGACATTACGTACGAACGGCGATTTGTTGCCGAACTTTTCAGCACACCGATGGCGGCCTCTGTCCTACACACACACATACAACAGAAAGGTTATTTTATGAAGAAGTCATCTTGGATTAATCAGCTTGTAGTGTGTGGACTCGCACCTCTTCTCCATTTCTTCTGGATCCAGAGCTGGTTCAGAGAGCACTGTCTTTTCATTGCTGGGCCGGATCGTGTGAGGGGCTCTGGCAAATTAATATTTATGGAAATAAATCTTATTAAGATGTTCTAAAAATGAGCTCAAATGGTTTATGTGCGTGACCCACACACGCTTGAGTGTTTTCGGCTCACTTACATTTTCTTGTAAGTATCAGATGGCTTTTTGGTGAAGCTATTTACTCCGCTAAGGGAGGAGACACAAACAGCATACTATTAAAAATGATCTTGACCACATCTTATATTAGCAATAGTTGATTTGCAAATAAACTACATCTATATTAAAGGATTAGTTCACTTTTAAAAAGACTTGCTGATAATTTACTCACCCCCATGTCATCCAAGATGTCCATGTCTTTCTTTCTTCAGTCGAAAAGAAATTAAGGTTTTTGATAAAACATTCCCGGATTTTTCTCCATATAATGGACTTCCATGGGAACCAGACGGTTCAAGGTCCAAAAGACAGTTTCAGTGCAGCTTCAAAGGGCTTTAAACGATACCAGACGATGAATAAGGGTCTTATCTAGCGAAACGATCGGCCATTTCAAAAATAAATAGAAAAGTTGAAGTTTAAAAAGCACAAATGATACACGTTCGTGACTCTCCTGCTCAAACTCGTTCATCAAAATGAACGAATCTTTTTTCGAGTCATTTCGTTCATTGCTTTTTAAACTTCAACTTTTCTATTTATTTTTGAAATGGCCGATCGTTTCGCTAGATAAGACCCTTATTCATCGTCTGGTATCGTTTAAAGCCCTTTGAAGCTGAACTGAAACGGTCTTTTGGACCTTGAACCGTCTGGTTCCCATGGAAGTCCATTATATGGAGAAAAATCCGGGAATGTTTTCATCAAAAACCTTAATTTCTTTTCGACTGAAGAAAGAAAGACATGGACATCTTGGATGACATGGGGGTGAGTAAATTATCAGCAAAAGTTTTTTTAAAAGTGAACTACTCCTTTAATGTGATGGGATTTATTTAATGATGTTATAAAGTCAACAGAAACTATGGTTTCAGACACTAAATGAAAAGTGTTCTTTGCTTACGCAGATCCATTGGTGGATGGAGTTGATGTTGGCTTGGAATCGGTTTTTATGAAAACGCCTCTGCAAAAGTAAATTATCACACATGAGGGAAAGCGATACACAAGCAGTGTTAACAAAAATCACCCGATTGACTGAATATTCGCATTACCTGATCATGTATCCAGATGTAGGTGGTTTTGGTCTGTGAAATTGAAATTAAATATTGACATTTTTAACATGTAAACAGACAAATTTGGGGGTTTACAGAACATCTATACATCACAGATTTATTGACCCTATCCTCAAAATGTTCTACAAGCCATATCTCCTAGTATCAGGTATCCTCACTACTTAAAAAGTACATAACCTTACTAATATAGGGCATTTCAGACACTTTTTTCACTTTCTGTCTTCTTTCTTCTCATAGAACAATCAGCTAGACAATTATCAGCCCGGCTTCAAAAGCAGATATTCAATAGAAACCTCGCTATCAGTCAACAAAGCCCTGCGGTGGGCGAAAGCTTCCTCTCAATCATTCATCCTCATTCTGCTGTGGCAATCTCTAGCCTTCGACACAGTAATTCACCAGCGGCCTCATTTATAACCGCTGCGTCGCACAAAATAGGCCCTGAGAGGCGTACGCACTTCCCACGCAAAAGTTGTGATTTATAAAAACAAACTTGACGCGAAAATGTTCGCATCTGCACGCAAACTCTGATCATGCGTACGAACGTTTGAGACGGAGCAGTTTGATGGTGAGCTGAGGGACTGATGAAGGAAAACACTTTACATCTTCATTATGAGTCCTAATCATAAACTCAGTGCATGCTCACAATAACAGTTTATATAAATAAAAGATTGATTTAAACTCTGCTTTACATCTGATATACACATTTAGATTAAATATGCCATTCTCATTAATGGAGTTAAACACTTGAAATCATTACCGAGAAATTACAACATTTTTATATTCTAATAAACAGAAATATTTGTTAGTGGATGCGATGCTTTTGAACACTTTTCCTGTGGCATGCTGTGTTTGCTGAGCGCATGATAACAGCAGAACTCATGGTCTGAGAAAATAGTTTTGCGCAAATAGTGATCAATCATGCACAATAAGGCCTATCTGTTTCCATTAAGAATATAAAGCAATTAAAAACACTATTTGGCCAGTGGAAAAGATTGAGAAAAACTTTCTTTGAAATGTATTTTATATACTATTTGATTTATTTATTCAAAAGCAAGGCTAGGATAGGCTACTAAATTATTTTTAGCAATGCAATGTGACGCATATTCGTATCTCATATTTTCCTAATGTCTTGTACCGGTAAACGTGGCGTCACGTGGATGAATATGCATATGCAAATAATATGCAGATGAGGATATGCACAGTAAAACGATGCGTTGTAAGCTTCATATATGGTTATTTCGGGGTGGAGACACATGTGCGCACAATCTTCTGCTGACTGGGATTTATAAAGGGAATTTTACACAAGTTCTGCCATTTTTTGACGTACGCCATTTTTGTCTTTCGGGCGCACATACACTTTTAGTAAGTGTTTCCTACGCACAGTTTATAAACGAGACCCCAGATCCTTCTGTCCACCTTATTGTTCAGAGAACTGCACTCTGCTGGTTTGAGTTTTACTTCACGGATCGATTCTTCATGGTATCTTGGTGTCAACTAACTGCTGGCGTACCTCAGGGTTCGGTTATCGGCCCCTTCCACTTCTTGAAATACACAACATCGATGTGACCTATCATCTAAACACATCGATTTTCATACTCATTCTGGCATTTTCCACATTGGCTCTGGCCTGCTAATCGAATACATGTAAGTGTCGAGCTCATGGAGAGTAACAGTACATACTTCTCTGTGTCGGATCTGGGCTGGGGCGCATTAACCGTGGGGGAAGAATCAGCACTTGTGTCTTCAAACACACCATTTGAGCGGGTTGCTCGCACCTCAGCGACCCTAAAAGAGAGAACGTTTTAGAAATATTGCACTGTGAACTTTTAACGTAGTTTTTCAAGCTTTATTAGTTTGTTCACCATGGTTTCTCCTCCTCCTGCTCTCTCTCAAGTTTAGCTTGCTGTTGTCTCTGAATCCAGCTGGCGTCTCCTTTCAGAGCGGTGCGGACCTTGGTGGTCCGTAAAACTGACTGTCTGTCCCCCTCTGAAATCAACAGAAACATATAAGACATCTTTTGAGATCTTATTCGTTTTTTCAGGGGCCATTGCTTCAAGGGTAATACACGCGCAGTTGTTTGAGTATAAAAAAAAAAAAAAAAAGAAGTATGTCTGAAAGTAATGCTTTTCTTACTTAGTATTTTTGTCTTCTTAAACACTCTTAAATCAAGAGCCATTTGCTAAAGTTGTAAAATACCATATGATATTATGTCTTGTTTTCTGGGGAAATAAATCAAAATTAAGGGAGTTTTTGCTTAAAATAAGCACAATTATCTGCCAATGGGGTAAGAAAAATAATCAACAACTCACTTAATTGGTAACGCTTCATTTTACAGTACAGTACTTACGTGTACTTACCTAGAAAGTACTGGCTAATATAAGGTAAGTACATGGGTTAGGGGTAGGTTCAGGGTTAGTACCTAGTTATTACCCATAATTATAATTACTATAATAAGTACATAGTAAGTACATGGGTAACAGGACTGTAAAAGGAAGCGTTACCACTTAATTTTTATTTATTTCCCCAGAAAACAAGACATAATAACTTATGTCATTTTACTCATCTAGTAAATGCATCTTGATTTAAGAATTTTTTCATATTTGGACTGGAAACAAGACTAATGCTAAGTTAGAAAAGCATTTTTTGCAGTGAAAAGACTTATTTATTTTTCAGGGGTCATTGCTTCAGGGGTAATACATGCGCCGTTGTTTGAGTATTTAAAAAAAAAAGAAAAAATAAGAAGTATGGCTGAACGTTGAGTGTGTTAAGCAATGTGTGACATGTGGCACGACAGGATTTGACGCTGTGACTCAGGACATAATTGTTTTGGTTGTAAGAGTGGAATGCCATAAATTAATATAAACAAACGCTGACAGTTTGACCCGTGTGAGATTCAATAAGATAAGACGTGAATCGAAAAACTGGACACTGTAACGTACCTTTAGACATTGTTAGTGGCAATCAAGTGAAAAACCTTCCTGAGAAGACACCTGGACATTATGAAGACAGAAAAAAATATTATTTTTATATACATCATAAAATAAATACATTTTTCATTTTCATGTGGTAAAACTTGCTTTGTCAAAATGGATTGCATTGACAATACGACATGCATTGACATTGATATATGTATAAAGATGTAAGAATTTTAACGTGACACTGAAGATGTTGAAAATTCAATGACATCATAGGAATAAATTCCAATATAAAAGATTTAAAATTGTCATAACTGACCCCAGACTTTTGAATGGTGCACTCTAAAAAATGCTGGGCTGTTTCAACCCAAATTTGGGTCAAATATGGACAAACCCAAATGTTGGGTTAAAAATGTATTTAAAAAATTTACAGTTGAAAGTGAAAGTTGAAGTTGGGTTAAAATTTTAAATTACATTTTTAACCCAACATTTGGGTTTGTCCATATTTGACCCAAATTTGGGTTAAAACAACCCAGCATCGTTTAGAGTGTAGTCTATGTATATTAACCCATTTAATCCCACTGGTAACTTCCATTTTCCTATAATTTGTCATTTTGTCATCATTTTATTTGATTATTTGTGCCGTACTGCTGCATAGAAATGCTATTTTGTCCTTTTTGAAAGTGAGCCTTCTTTGTTAATGGAATAAAACACTCATTTCAACAATTTAACCCAGACTTTGAAGTCATTGCTGGAGGTTTGTGAGTTTGTAAATGCATTAACACCAGTAGGTCTACTACCAGTCACATTATTAGTGAGTGTTAGACATTAAAAAATTAGTTAGGCATAAAAACCATTTTTCATGGAATTTTCAATTATTATTTTTTTTAAATCCTTACAAATACCATACAAATTCATATATGTCAACATTTGGAATTAAATGGGTTAATATGAATTATTATTATCGAATTGGTCTTATTTCTGGAAGCACTGCATATTTTCTAAATAATGTAGGCACACTATTTATTAAATAAAGGCGGATTGTTGGCAAGTTAAACAACCACCAACACAAAGAGAAATTGCCATTCTGGGAGTGTCTCACAACTTCAAGAAATTCCCACGAACTGAAAACTTCATTCAGCAAATTCTCCAAGAAACTGACAGATTCACCGAAAACAGGGAAGCCGAGGAGCCGTGCTAATGGCGTTCTCGAAGAGTTTCAGTTACATAATCCAGATTACTGAAATTATTCATTCCTCACTACAACATGCATATCTCTGTTTATTTAACAGGGTTATTTTCAACCTAGGATATACATCTGTAGGGAACCGTAACACTGAAGCATAATGCAAAATTCCTGAGTTTCTTTTCTAAACCATGTGGAAGAGCCTGTCCATCCAGGCACACACACACACACACACACCTCTCTCTGAAAACCACCACCTCCTGATCATGAACATCTGATCATATTTACATAAAACTTCACTTACGTTATATCCTGAACATTAGTTCATTAATAATAGTATTATTAGCAGATTTTTTTGTAAAACTGACTTCAAAAATCAACCACCCTAGTGTCCATAATTGTTTGTTTGGTTTCCAAATGAACTTCCCAGTGTGTGTGTATAAAGCCCAACACTCCTCACGCACCGCAGTGACACCGCATGACCTTCATGAGTCAACAGAGCTCGAGCAAGAGGAAACATGTTTGAGTGGAGATCGTGACAGCGTGAAAGACAAATCATTGATATATGACGGCAAAAACACTTTCACTGCGCCGCACACCACAGTACAGATGACACCAGCTGATATATATATAAGAAAGTGAAATAAATATGTCATATCAAGCTTGCAATACTTCAGATCAGTCCAACATTTGCCAACACCAAATAGCCACATTAGAAAGAGTCAGTTTGTGGATGTTAATGGCCATGAAGAGAGGACTTACCTGATGAATATGAGTTAAGCTGCAGTCGAAGGCAGATGCACTGGTGATTTCAGCTGACTGATTGAGAGTTTACACACACACACACACACTGAGGGAGGCGTTGCAGGTATGGGCGTATAGGGACAGACCTGCCCAGCCAGTCGGGTAGGCCAACCAAACCTATAGGTGTGTACCTGCATGTGTGTGTGTGTGTTTCTATGTACTTCTTGCTTTGGTGTGATACTCTCCCACCTTTATTTGTTGAATTCTGTTTTATCCGCATTTCAATAACCTGAGAGCAATTACTGTGAGTGATGTCACATCATGACACTGGTGTCCAGAGGGAAGGTGCGAGACCGTTCTAGAAAAGCTCCCAAAAATATCCACTTGTGCCTGACGATGCGCTCTTAAAAAACATTAAAAACAACCCAATTTATGGGGTTGTTCACTAAAAATGATGGGTTGTTTTAACCCATTTTTGGGTTAAATATGGACAAACCCAAAAGTTGGGTTAAAAATGCGATGTAAAAAATGTAACCCAGTGGCTGGGTTTGTCCATGTTTGACCCAAAGTTGAGTTGAAAACAACCCAGCATTTACATAGCATTTCCCTTACGTTATATCCTGAACGTTAACTTGCCTAGTTTGATGACACAAGGGATATTATTCATTAATAATAGCCTTATTATTAGCAGATTTTTTTTGTTAAACTGACTTCAAAGTCAACCACCCTTAGTGTCCATGATTGTGTTAAAAACAACCCAATTTGGGTTTACATATTACGTTATATCCTGAACGTTAACTTACCTAGTTTTTGACCCAATGGCTGGGTAAATATGGTACAGAACACATGTTGGGTTAATTTTACCCAGCACATTGGGTTGTTTATTTAACCCAGTATATTGGGGTGATTTAAACCAGCATAATGGGTTGATAAATTTTTTCTATAATTCTAGCTTTTTTTCTTCTTTTTACTTCACACATGAACTAATGATTACGGATTAACTTCAGTCCTCTAAACTTTTTTAAAATACTCCACACAACCACTGGTTGCCTACATTAAAGCTCGTTTAACACATACTAGAAGGAAAAATTAGACATTTAGAAGTAATTCAAGTGTAATCGACCATTCTCTGGTCTCGTACCGGTGTTGTGCCGACCGGTGTTGTGTAACACCTCCCCTAATCCTAACTGGGTTGTTACATCTGACCCAGGATCTGGGTAACACAAAAACTGGGTTGTTATGTCTGACCCAGGATCTGGGTAACACAAAAACTGAAACACTGAAAAAAACAACCTAAAAAATTACTCAAAAGGCTCGCTCAACCCAGGATTTGGGTAGAAAAAAATAACGCAAGAGTTTTTAGTGTTGAGGTCCGAGTTGAATCAGGATTCATCCAGGACTCATTCAAATAAAAATGATTAAAAATCTTTACGATAACAGTGGTACAGGCATCACACGGCAACACATACAAACATTCAATGGCAAACAATCGAAGGGTATTGTGAAGGGCAATAACACCAAAATGCACAGAATCAAGAGATAAGGACATTCAACATACATTCTCAAGAAAACTCCACAAAGAGGAGATCAAATATGCCAGAAATCATAAGTTAGGTTTTCTAATCACTTAATAATGTTGGGTTGAAAATAGCCCAACGAGTAACCCAACTATGGGGTGGTACAGCACCTTCCAAACTGTGGGATATTTTAACCCAATGCATTGGGTTAAAAGCAAATTGGGTTAAAAGTAACCCAACAGTTGTTAACTATTTATTTTTTATTTATGTTATTATTTTAATAAATAAAATACACTTTGTTTTCAAATACAGATTGTTTATTTGTTTAAAATTATAAATATGTCTCAACAAATATATTTTTAAATCACAAACTAAATATTGGGGAGTCTAGAATCTAATGTAAATATACATAATTGTGTACATAAATTCATAAGTGTATACAACATACGTATTTAACCCAACGGCCAGGTAATTACTAGAAATTACCCAACGATTTGAAAAATGACCCAATATTTTTGGGGAAAATAACCCAACATAGTGACCCAATGGTTGGGTTAAAAAAACAACCCAAGGTTTTTTACTGTGTGATGGTAAAGGGAGGCACCTTGCCTCAACCACATGTTAACAGAAGGTACACGAGGAGTGGATCAGAACAGAAGTATATATTTTCTCACGAAAAAGGTCACACAATCAAGGCCATGGTCAAGATGTAGATCAGCTTTACAGTTCAAACGGCAAATACTTCTGCAATAAATCTGGATCTCTCTCCTGTAAGTCTTGATGATATTACAGTACCAATATTAACATTTTGTGTAGGTTTTAAATATAGGTGTTGAATTTACGTGTGCTGTATTTACACTTGTGTATTTTGAATTTTTGTACACAATTATGTATATTTACATACAATTCTAGACTCCCCAATATATACTTTGTCATTTAAAAATATATTTGTTGAAACATGTATTGTTTTATACAAATAAACAATCTGTATTTGTAAATGAAGTGTTTTTTAGTTATTGAAATAAATTCCATAAATAAAAAATAAATAGTTAACTCAACTGTTGAGTTACTTTTAACCCAATGCATTGGGTCAAAATAACCCACAGTTGGGAAGGTGCTATACCACCCTATAGCTGGGTTAGTCGTTGAGTTATTTGTAACCCAACATTATTAAGGGAGTAGACTTGCACTTGAAACACAGTTGGGAAACATGAGGGCAGATCTTATGAAGGAGAACCGGTGTTAAGTGTCCTGTAAATGAACTAATAGCTCATGATCCGATACTGAGGCGCCGGAACAGACGGATCACCTCTCCTCCGAGTCTTTCTCCCGTTAAACAGAGACATCAGAGAGATCAGAGTGTTTTCTATCTTCCTTTAGAAGAGCTTCGGAGATTTCTATTCTAATTTCTAATTTCACTGGTAGAAAGTGGTCAGCAAAGAAATCTGTAGTAGAGGCAAAGGCTGCCCTTCAAATTAGGGATATCGTGGGACAGGTGCAGCATGGAAGAGGGGGTTTTGGGCTCAGTTTAGCTCCTCCTAAATGGCACAAGGCAGGCCCAGCTCAAAGGAGGAAGCTGGTAGTCAACGAGGTGCGAAAGCAGGAGGAGAGGATGAGGTGTATAAAGGCCATTTCCCAGGCCAAGCAGGGAGAGTGGATGAGATGGGACAGTGTGGAACAACGCAAGATGGGCTGGCAAGACCTTTGGTCAATGGAAGAGAGTAGGATCAGTTTCCTTATTAGGTCAACATATGATGTTCTCCCATCACCGCAGAACCTAAACCTCTGGGTAGGAGAGGATCCCTCTTGTCCTTTGTGTTCATCACCTGCCACATTAAGGCACATTTTGACAGGATGTAAGGTGGCTCTTAGCCAAGGTCGGTTTACTTGGCGCCATGACCAAGTACTGCGATGTTTGGCTTTAGCATTAGAAGGCAAGCGTAACATGACCAATAAGTTGCCACCTGTTCTAGCAAAACATTACACGCAGAAGACAATATTCCTCCGCCCAGGCGAGCAACCACCAAGAAAAGGTGTTAACACCAATTCTCGCCCAGGACAACTGGAAGCTGCTGGGGACTGGAAGATGCTGGCTGATCTTGACCAACGGCTTATTTTTCCACCTGAGATTGCCACCACTAACCTACGACCAGATATTGTTTTGTGGTCTGGATCAGCACGCATTGTTCAACTGATAGAGTTAACAGTGCCATGGGAGGATGCGGTAGATGAGGCATATGAGAGGAAGAAACTGCGGTATGCTCATCTGGCCACTGAAGCAGAACAGCGAGGATGGAGAGTCCAGATTTATCCAGTGGAAGTGGGTTGTCGAGGTTTTGTGGCACACTCTACAACCCGGTTCCTCAGAGACGTCGGATTCAGTGGCCAAGAGTTGCGTCGCACAGTAAAGAACTTATCTGAAGCAGCAGAAAGGAGCAGCAACTGGCTGTGGTTGAGACGGAAAGATTCTAGCTGGCTGTGTACAGGCCGCCACGCTACGGTTTCGTAGAATTCTTGAAAACTTGAAGAGTCTGTTGGTTTGTTTGTATACGTTCCTGTGGATATTGCGTGAATGACGGGTGGTTGGGCAGATATTGTGTTTTGGGGTAGGTGGTGTCCATACGGAACCGTTGTCCACTGAAACTGCATATTAACGCACCAGTGGGGCTCGACAGCCTTAGTCAAACGGGTTGGCGCGTATGGTCGGGTTGCGGAGAGATTGTGAGATTGTGGTTCGGTCTCAGCAGCAGGAGGGATGTAGAGGTCAGTAAGCTGGGCTGAGTTGAGTGGGGGACGGAGGGGGGTGACTCTGGGACGCCAGAGTCACTGTCGAGCCCTCTTGAGGTGTCGTGGGCTAGTCGACGAAACACTGAGGACGGAAGGTGCCCACTTAAAGACCCTAGAGATGTCCCCTACTCGGTTCAATCCAGACGGTTGTCGTGCTGGTCCTGTAGTTGCAGCCGTCGCGTGCGCTAACGCGCCAAGTACACTGCTGCCGTTAACGCTGGACAGAAGGGGAGTCACACCACCATATGGAAAGAAGCGTAAATGGATGGAGAAGCATAGTTTACTGTAAAGCTACGTCTTAGTGTTGCTTATCTTGGCGAAAGCCGAGTACAAATCAGCATGAAGTTTTAACATCTACTCTCGTGTAATGGAAATCAAATCTAAAAATCATTATTAGGTAATTACATTTCTGTGAAAAAACTATTTTTAAACATGCCAAATTCTTAAAAATGCTTCACAGGTTTTAACAAGAGTTCTGATTGAATGCCCGGTTGTGTTGCAAACGTGTTTCACAAAGTATTTGTAACAAATGAAAAAGTTGTCCTGAGGTTATTGTCATAGCTGGTCTGCAGGAGGAGCAGCACAACACACATTTCTGACATTTTTCAGTCTTTATTCAAAATTCTTTAGTGAAACCAAAGAATCTAAGGATTCTCAATAGAGAGGAGTGTGTGTGTGTGTGTGTGTGTGTGTGTGTGTGTGTGTGTGTGTGTGTGTGTGTGTGTGTGTGTGTGTGTGTGTGTGTGTGTGTGTGTGAGTGAGTGAGTGAGTGAGAGAGTGTGTGTTTGAGAGAGAGTGTGTTTGAGAGAGTGTGTGTT